AAAAAAAAAAAAAAAAAAAAAATCAGATGTTTGATTCATCTCTTTATAAAACTTAAAGCAAGATTTCTCATTTTCCAGTTCCCTGTTCCCGGGATGTATACCTGATATTCAGATATAAGTGTACTACTCAGCCAAAATCTACAGCTCATTAGTATCAATAAAGTTGCAAGTCCAGAATTCTGGTTTGTTACTAAGATGTGTTTTTGAAATTGGATTTCCAGCTGGATCTCTTCTGAAATGTCTGCAAGGGGCATGTGTGTGTGTGTGTGCGTGCACGCACACGCGGGGGATGTAGATAAACCGGTTTAGGTACTGGTTTTTAACTCTGTATCCTCTTTCCACCTTAACTAAGAAATTTCTATTTTATGCCACCCAATCTGCTTCCAAACCAAGTATTATTATTTCAAAAGAATGTTTTTACAGTAAGATGGTACCAAGAAAGGGCTTAGCATTGCTGATAAATGACAGCAGCTTTGACTTTTCCGCCTTCTCGAAAGAGATGTCTTCAGTTCTTCCTTGATGCCCCTAACATCTTAGAAGCTGACTTTTCACCCCTACAGACACTCGCGTCTGTGGGGGGGCAGTTCACCTTATAGTAGTACTTATACATTTAAAAGTACTTACCTTTTTTAGAACTTGGCTTAGTAATGTTCAACTTGCCAGCTTTTTTAAACAAGCCTCGGATGCCGCCACCCCCCTCTTCACTTTCATTGTCTTTGATGGTGGCTTCCAAAGCCAGCCTCTCCTGTTCTAATTTCTCCAATTCATCTGGTGAGAGAAGACAAGCTCACTTACCAAGCTCAGAGAGACAAAGGCTTTAAGAACAGTCTTATAAACTCTTTTAATATTAAGAAATAGTGTATCTGCAATGAAACAAACATTATATGATTTTTTTCTGAATTATTATTAAAAAGTAATGCGTGTCAGTAAACTAAGAAAATAATAACTACCGAGAAAAATAGCTCTATGTGTTAATTATAATGTATGAGTCACTAGGTTTTTATTTGTAAGGGCTGTTTAATGCCATCTTTATTCACTTCGGCAAAAACCTCAAAGCCAGATCCACTGTACATAAGATCTTATGCCCTGAAAGCCACTTATTTACTGACCTGAGCTACTGGGTGAGATATTTTACCGGTGGAAGTGACAAAATGACAGAAGCATCCTGGGTATATACCAGGCACACAACGATGCCTCCAGAACTGACAGCTAAACCCAGAGAGCGAGAATTAAGGAAAGATAACCATAAACTTTATGGGGCTCTCAGTACAAATTACAGTGAAAAATGCCCACCAACAATCCTTCCCGATGAGCAAAATACTTTCTGGAGTGGCCCAAGCGAAAGAAGCAAAAGCTGAGATGTCCGCGTGCCTGCCTGAGTTTGAATTACTGAAAAGGGTCCCCGGCGCTCGAGTCCGGAGTCAGGGTCGGGCTGCGCAGTTTCCTGTCCGTGGTTCAGGCCCACCATCCAAACTTTGATGCTGTGTCTGGCTGCCTTTTATCTTTTTGGATTTCGACTGTGACAAAAAATTCCTAGCTGCTGTGTAATGCATTGCATCATTCTCTGACCTCAGCCTGCATTGGATCCGGGTAAATAAAGACTTTAAAAGCAGTCGTGCGACAGTGCTAAAGAGTGGCGGGCATTCTCTCTTCCAGTGAGCACGGTGGCCTTCTTGTCAGATCCCTTCATCTTGTCTGCTGAGAACAGAGCCTTAGAAAATGAGCGATGTTCCGAGACGGAGAGAGGAAAACCTAGATTCAACGTTACGAAACACCGGTAGGGCTTCTGTAAATGTCAGCCCTCGGAGCCAGTTGCCTTATCTATCTGGGAAGCAAAGCTACACAAACTCTAGATTTATCAATTATGCACTAACTAAATCTGTCAGGACAGTCACATCCCTAGACGGTGCTGTTATTCAGCTGCACAGAATTGTCTGGCCCCTTTCCAGGTCTCAGCAATTAATCTTTTGCCAGTGGCATGAGATTTAAGGTCAAATCACCCATGTGATTTCCCCAAAGCTTCAAAGGTTCTCAAGATCAGCAGCTATAGGAAATCTGAGAAATTAGACTGATGGTATTAAAGCTCAGGCAGGAGTTGCTTACCCCTGACTTTTGAAAGGTGAACACAAGCTGCATTGCCCCGGGGGTCGTGACCGATTACAGCTCTGAGGCTGGCATTATGTGACATTAAGCAAGTCATTGACTTTCTCTCTGCCTCTGATTTCCTATCTGCGAAATGGAAAATCATAACCTTCCCCATTCCCTAGCATTGCAAAAAAAATAAACAACAGTCCCTGCTTAGTGCTTCGGAGCTCCTTAAAGAGCAAAGCGACCAGTGCATCCTATAGGCTGCGTTTCTATGCAACTCCTGGGCATTTGTGCAAAGCAAACTGAGTGTGTTGGAAAGCCTGGGGGTTATTTTAGCAGTTACTGTTTATTACACACTTTCTAGGTGCTGGGGACTGTGCTGTATGTTATTCCTTAGCAATAACTCTGAGACAGTTACTATGACTATCCTCATTTTGTGGATGAAGACAGTGAGGCTCAGAAAGGTTGAGTAATGTGTCTGATATCACCCAGCAAGTAACAGGGTCTAGCTACAAAGAGGCCTGCTCGATTCCAAATCCTGCATGCTTCCAACTGAGAAGACCTTTCGCTTTTGGCTTGTTACTGTTATTTCAGAGTTGTCCTATTAACCTCCAACTCTTCCTCATCAGGGGAACCTGAACCCTCTCAGGCACATGGTAGAATGCCAAGTTAATTCTCCCAAACTACAGCCCCTCGAACATATCATTGTGAAGGGAGGACCCTAAAGATATAGGTTCAGATCGCAGGCTGCCCGGAGCAGCCACATCAGCCACATCTGGATCTGGGTGACAGCCCCTCAGCTATCATCCACATTCGGGGTGCTGCAGGGCAGCTGTGGAGTAACTGCTCTTTGCAGTCATCTGGAAGGTGCCCATTTGTGAGCCTCTTTGGGGGCGACTTCAAGGAGAGATGGGGAGCGGGTTCCTTTGTTTTCCATTTTTGGCCGGCTCCAGCACAACCTGAGATTAGCCACTAGCTGGCGTGGCCTTTGTCTAGTTTGGACAAAGGAGAAAAGAAGACAAACCCCCCTCTGTGGCAGAGGCAGCCGGCTGCGTGCTCCAGGGGTTTGCTTGAAGGGGGGTACGGAGCCCACCCTGGACGGAGCAAACGGCAGGCTCCCGACTGACAGACAGAACCAGGCTCTGCTGAATGAGACAGATTCCGCAGTTCCCTCAAAGACCCTGGAGACGGAGTCCACCGTAAAGGCCAAACCCCGCTTGCTCGGACATCTGGAATTTTTGGATCTGCACAGTGGTATGATCCTCGGCACAGTGAATTAGAGTTAATTCTTAATTATTCACTTTGTAGGTGATCTAAGGCCTCCTTCGGCTCACTCCCTCTTTTTCTCATTTCGGCGTTAAGGAGCACTGGTGCTGTGAGGCTCTGTTCCGAGCTGTCTGCCTGGTGTACCGCTTGCCTCTGTTTGCTTAAGAAATTAAGAGCAGAATTGTCAAAACATTACTTTCAACGGGAGTGCTGGCTAGCCGGCCACTAGGCGCAAGGCAGGTGAGCCAAGGCAGAGTGAATGGACAGATATAAACTGAGCCCCACAACACTGACAATGAAAATGACTCATTTCATCACCACCACCACCACCACTGCTCTCTTTGTGATCTTCAGGATTTACAAAGCCCTTTCCACATCGTATCTTATTTGATCCCAACACCAATGCTGGGATGCAGGCAGGGCTAGTAATAGTCTCCCCATTTTAATGTAAAGGAAACTTGGGTTCAGACAGTCGAAGTGATGTTTCCACAGTTGCACAGCTGGGGACCCAAGCTTTCTGCTTCCGTTCTGGTGTTCGTGCCTCTTTATTACCGTTCCTCAGTGATGTGCTCTGACTGCCAATATCTGCCTATTGAAGGAATACATAATCTGCATTTTTTTTTTTTTTTAAGAAACCACCCCAAAATTTCCCAATCAGAGAAATTTACATAACTCTCTACATTTCCATAATACTCTGCTTCTGCCTTTATTTCAGTAACTATCACTGTGGGACCCAGAATAGAGTTTTAAGATACATGTGTATTTTACCCCCACTAGACTACAAACACTTGGCAGCCATGTTATCTTTTAATGCAAAATAATAAATCTGTAAGGTAGGTACCATAATGATTCCAATTTGAAAATGTGAAGTGAAACACAGAGAGGACCAAAATTTGGCTAAGGTTACACAGCCAAAAAGGGTCAAACCGGGATTTGAACCCGGGCCTGTCAGATTCCAAAGCCTGTGTATAGACTTCACATAGTCCCTCTCACATTCTTAGTTGAGCTCACACCATAATGAATACTCAAGAACAGTCTGCTGAAATGAAAGAACAGGTCCATGCTGTTAATACAATTCAAAACATTTGAAAGTATTTTCTCTATAAAGGGAAAAAAATGAATGAACAGTTCTCAGGGATGGGGTGTGTGTAATGTGTGTGTGCGTAGGGGGTAGGTACAAAAGACGATGCTTGAGAGAAGTGGAGTTACTGCTTTATACAGAGGAATAAAAAGAGGAGCCAGCAGGGCCTGGGGGTATAAGCCAGGCTGGAATGTACAGAAGGAAGGACGGGTGAGACTCATCGGAAGAGAGAGATAAGGAAAGGGGTCCTTTCCCTGGAAAGGGCCACCCCCTGAGCATCAGGTGGGAATTTTAATCTCCCATGTTAGAAAATTCCACACTCCGTCATAATTTGCCACAATACTAGAGAGAGAGAGTAAAACCCTGTTCTTCTCTCATTCCAAGATTAAGAGAATCCCAGAGATTGGGTGGAAAAATTTAGGCTTTAGGGTCTCTCTGTTGAGTGGGTTTCTAACCTATTGTTCGTACAGAGCCCCAAACAGTTCTCACAGTAAAAACAGAGAGTGAATCCTGAGCCCCATCTTCATGGAAACGCCAGATCACTTGAGTAGTAGTTACTCTACCTTCAAGTGGTTTATAAATTGATTGTATGGTAACCAACTGGAGTGACCATATTTTGAAATTCAATTTTATTGCCAAGATTGCCTCCAATGTTCTATCCTCAGTCTTTTTTTTTTTTTTAAGATGTCTTTTAGAAATAGGCAGGAGTCTACTCACTACAATTCCCTTTGAATCTTAAGGAGAGAGAGTAGGCAATTATCTCATAACAGGGAGAACAGGGAAACCCCCTGAGGAATGGCTTCCCCTCCCGCCTCACAGCATCCTTCTCCATTAATTATTAAGTTATGCTTCTTTCCTTGGTCAATCAACTCAAAGCTGTAAATGCTCACATGAATCAACGTGCCACAGCCCCGTGAAGTCTAGCCGAACTGAAGGCAGGAAGCAATCCTGCAGTGGTCACCTTCCAGTCAAGTTATTATTTACCACCCTGCCATCTGTCTTTATTTTGCTAAGCCACTTCCTCAGACACAGCAGAATCCCCGTGCTCTGAGATGGTCATAAATCGTGCAGCTCTTACATGGAACACTTGACCGCAATATATTGCAAAGCACGTGTCATCACTTTAGTTCCTACCAGAATAATTTGGACTCTTTGTTGAAGTTGGCAAACTTGCTAAATACCCCTGGGAAGTGAACAACATGAAATACCATTTTTTTGTGTGTGTTGTCGGGTAATAAATTAATTTATTAGGAGACACTATCAGCCACCAGTATTGGATGAGTTGCTGCAGTATACAAGTTAGAGTGTCATGAGCATCGATCTCACTTCTAGAAAAAGTTATTTCACATAAGCCAGTGACACAGGATAGAAATAGTTGTCATTAGCTAGCAAATTACCTATAAAGCTGATTTCTATTCACTGCTTTATTAACTACAGTCTATGGACATTCAGGATTGCTAATATTTTCTTTAAATTATAATGTGTGATGACACCTTGGCGCCTGTGTTGGAAAAGCTATGGTGATAATCATTAACATAGTGTAATGCAATACTTAAGATTTATCAGGCTCTTATTAAGCCTTATATTACAGTATAATATAATGAAACACAAGCTTATTTCTTCCAATTCAAAATCTAATACAAGAGTTGTGTCATAAATTACATAAACTTCAAAACAATGCATGGAAATGTGGCGTAAAGTTAATTTCTATCATTATGCTGTTGTTTTTCTGCATGTTCTTCATGTATTTGTGTAACATTTTTTGTTTACCCTAGATAATTGCTACTTATAATTATTTTATTAGCATCCAACTGTATTTTCCCTTTCTTGACTAAGAAGCAGAAATATTTCAAACATCAAAGTTGATATAAATCAGATACATCCCTTGGGAAATTAAAAGGGGATGCAGTTCACTGCTGGGATTCTTTCAGAAATACTACATACAGAATGAGCTTCTGTATTGCTTTATAGAACTAAATTGATGGTGCATTTTGGCGGGTGGAGCAGTGAGGGTGGGAGCCATATATTTTCAGCGACATCACATCTTTCAGCTTTAAGAGACCAACATAACATGCGAAGCAAATATGTAATCTAAATACAATCGTATTTTGTATTCTCATTGGTTAGATGGAAAAACATTAAGCACAAAAGGCAGATAAAATTAGAGTAAAATATAGAAATTTAGCAACACAACAGGTCTCTTCACATTAGGTTCTTATAGTTGTCCTCAATGCCATGTCTATCTTACCACAGACAGGCAGCCCCTATGTTGGGCTTTTGAAGGAATAGGTGGAAATAGCTTTGTTCCATTCCCATATCTCAGATTTTACCAGTGCTTCACATTATGTAAATCACTGTCGCTTCTAGTTTTCCTTTTAAAAAGGTAGAACAGTGCTTCAGACAGACAAATGTTTGAGTCTCAGCTCTACCAACTACAAGCCCGGTGAATCGTGGGCCAGCCTCACATTTATTAGTTGTAAGATGGGGCCAATGATTGTACTTTCCTCATAGGATAGTGGGGATGATAAATGTTGTAATACATGTGAACATGAACTATAATACATGGTACGTAGTAAATATTCAGAATGTTAGCTGTTGTTGCTACTAGCGTATTAAGTTCAACTAGGAAGGAATATATAAACTAATCATGAATACTGAACACTGAGAGGGAATTAGTGTGTCTGGTCTGTAAATGTACGAGGGCCATATAAAGAGAAAGTGGACATGAAACAGGCAGAAAGGGAGACCGGAGGTACCAAAGATAACCTTCATGCTACAATTTTGCATAAGATGCACTCTATTCTCAGTTTTTTAAAGCTCTTGGTATATAATCATAGAGGATACATATCAGATAGTGGTTCTCTACCCTGTGCAAACTCATGGCCCCTAGTTTCTTTTTTCTTCCCTCTTCCAATGCACCAGAGCGGTTACATCAGAAAATCCACCTCATCCACTCACATTTCCATCTGTTGTGATGGAGACAATCATAAAATGGTCAGATAGCAGCTGGACCCACCGGGAATCAGTGCCCTGAAATCCTTCGCAGGCTCTTCCTTTCTGCTGGACCTACCTTGCAAACCCTGATCCTCTTATACCCTGGAGGCCAAATGCTGCTAGAGAACTAGAGAAATTGCTCCAACTTCAAAAAAGAAAAAAAAAAAAAGAATGGAGGCTACTGTGCACAATCCTCCTCAATTTATCCCTCCACTCTTCCAAAACCACACACCTCATCTCGTCATCACACTTCACCTCTTTTGCTCTAATTTTAGAAGATGAAGCATTTTTCTTCTGTTTCAAGCCAACTCTTCCATCCCTTCTCTTCCCTTGATTCCTCCTGTTCCTCCAGCGTCTTACTCCATGGTTCACCCCTTTTTTACCTTTTAGCTTCCAGCTCTCCCACTTCCTTGGGCCCATATTCTCAGTCAGAAACCACGGGCCTCTCTCCCATTCTAAGGTCTCCAGGCCTCCCTGCAGGAAACCTCTCCAGCCTCATTCCTCTCCTCAGCATCTAAACTCCTCAGGATGGTTGGCCACACCCATGGTCTCCGCTCCATCATCTCCTGGTCTCTCTGCAGCCCACTGTAATCTCGATTCCGTCAACACTGGTCTACAGGAATTACTGTCACTAAGGTTATCTGTGCTGTGTCAATTACATTTTATTCCCAAATCTTTCTGGTATTTTCTGGTGTATTTAACAAAGTTGATGATTCTTTTCATTTTGAGCACTCTGTTACTGTGACACCACAGTCTTCTGGTTCGTTAGCCTTTCTGACAGCTCCTTTCCTGCCGCTTCTTCGGGGCCCTTTTCCTGTGCCTCGGGGCTCTCGACTACACACACTCTTTGTATTATATTTTCTGGTGTCATAGTTCCACCTTCACTGCGATGTCTTCCATATTAGTTTGGTAGGGCTGCCATAACACATACCACAGACTCACTGTTTAAGCAGCATACATTTCTCATGGTTCTGGAGACTAGAAGTCCTAGATCAAGGTTTGAGCACAGTTAGTTTCATTCTGACGCCTCTCTCCTTGGTTGTAGATGGCCCTCATGCCCTTTTCCTCTGTGCCTGTCTGTGTTCTAATGTCTTTTTATAAGGACATCAGTCCTATTGGATCAGGGCCCACCCTAATGATCTTATTTTACCTTACGTACCTCCTTAAAGGTCCTATCTCCAAATACAGTCACATCTGAGGTTAGGACTTTAATATATGAATTCTGGGGGGATACAATTTGGCCCATAATGTCACTTACAATTTGGCCCATAATATCACCTAAATCTGCACCTCCAGCTCACAATTCTACTTCAAGACCAGGACTATCAGCCTATTGGACATTTCCAGTAGAATTTCTCACAAGAGATTGTTTAAAACTGAACCAAGCATCCCTCCATTAAACCTACTCTTCTTGTGTTTCCCATTTCCTTGGGTAGAATCACCATTCAGTCAGCCAAGGAACCTGTGTTCACCCCTCCCTGTCCCATGCTCTGCACAGCCAGCCAGCCCTAAATGCTGCTCTTTGTACCTCCAAAGTACTTCTGTGTTTTTCCCTCCATCCCTAGCTCTAGTCCAGGCTGTCACCTTCTCTAGCTTTGATTAATATGAAAATCTTTTCTGATTTGTCTTTCTGTTTCCATCTATGGTCCTCACTAAGTCCAGGCCAATGTAACGGAAAGAATATGAGGCTGAAAACCTAAATTCAACCACATCACTCTCTCACTTAAATCTCCTTAATAGTCCCTCACCACTTTCAGAACATGATCCGCATGTTTTAATATGGCACATTAAGGCTTTTAAAATCAGGATCTGATACCAGCAGCCTTATATTTCACTCTTGTCCACTTCAACTTTTCATGGAACATTAATCTGCTGTTGGTTGCCCATCCGCCGCATTCCGCCCTATTCCCTTGTCTTCACACCTTGGCTGAGGCTCTCCTCTTTGCCAGGAATGCCAGTCTCCAAACTCTCTCCTTTTTTCCTTCCCCAACATTGCCTAGTTAACTCCTACTCATTCACTAGATCTCAACACAAAGGTAATTTCTTCCAGGAAGCCTTCTTGGGGTTAGATGCCTCTTCTCTTTCCCACAATACCCTACTCGTATACCCATTATCACACTAATCATATATTCATTTTCATTATGAGTCTTTAAGTCTGTTGAGGACACAGACTTTTGCTAGTCTTAGTGTACCCAGTACCGATACTTACATCATAGCTGCTACATAAGAGGTACCCCCAAAATCCTTTGTTTTAGTGCCACGTCATCAGTGGACTCTATTGTAAAGTTTAGTTAAAGAGATAAGTCATGGATTAGTGTCCCATCTTAATATTTCAGTGACTTTTTAGATGTGTTCTTTATTTTATGCACAAGAGTTTAAATTTTAAGACTAAACAAGTATGGTTGATCCTTGAGCAAAGCGGGTTTGAACTGCATGGGTCAATTGAACTGTGAGGTTCAGTTGAACTGCAGTCAATTGAACTGTGCAGGTCAATTTAAAAAATCCTGTATAAATGGGTCCACTATCCTCTATAGGGAAAAAGCAGAGTCACTCATTTGAATTAGTGATTTTGTCTCTGACTTAGATTAGTGATTCCTAGCATGATACATTCAGGCTCATTTCCATGTTGGTTGTAAACAAGATCATAGACTCTTAAAAACAAACTACATGGTTTTCCAAGGAAAGAATTAATCTTCATTTTTCTGAAACATCTTGCAGAAATTAATTCGGCAGGTTAATTTACCGAAGATGTTTATTTTCAGTGATGCTGGCTTTGTGGTTTTGTGGTAAGGAGAATAATTGATGACAGCCCTGGATTACTCAATATTTCTGGTTAGCAGGACAAAGGCCACCTGTGTTAGCAATGGGGAAAGCACAGGAAGTGTATAAGCCTCAGGTTTGCACAAGAACGTAAGCTCCACTGTTGTAGGGCTTTGTCCATAAGGTGCACTGGTCTATCCCCAGCACCTAGAACTCCATGCCGGCCATGGAGTAAGGGCTTAATAAATATTTGTTGGTTGAATAAAGAAAGTACATACCTTGCACCTGAAGAACCTGAGAGATGTCAAACCCTTGGCTGATTCTGACGATGACCACACCAATCTCAAAATCAAATGCATCGCTGAAAATAGAAACAAAGTGGTTAGTGATTTAAATGACTCTTTAATCCTCAAGCTTTGGACAAATATGAAACTTTGTTCTAGGATTTTAATGTAATTAAACTAAGAAAATTCACTTTCAAATACAACCAAGAGTTGATGGCTTTCTCTTAGTTTTTTTTCCCTTTATACCTTTAAAAAAAACATATTCTGAGTAAAGGTAACTTATTCATTTACTCTGGAACCAATTTATTCAAATATACTATCAACTAGAGTTTTGATTAAGAGCTTGTAACATACTTTTAAAAAATTGATTCTTTTTTAATATAAATAAAGCAGTCACTGAAATGTTTAGAACAGAGGGTCTTCCAACTGCAAAAACCCTTGGAAATTATCAACCAAATCTCTTCACCCATTGAGGAGGAATCCTATAACATTCACCATTGACTTTGGACAGACCATTTGAAGCAACACTTTTTCGTGGCAACCCTATGCTGTTGAAGTTGGCTGTATGCCTTGTCTACACCCAACCCAATGGAATTAGGTAAACTAGACAGGAAAGAAAGGCTTTCTTTTATCTCCATTCTTGTAGAAGATTTTTTTTTTTTGCCCATAAATATGGGGCAAAACAATTAGTACTTTGAGTTCATTTAGAATTTTCTCCTTGGGAGTTCCTTTGTTCAATCTTCTATGGATCTGGAGCCTAGGACCCTTTCCATTGGGTCACCCTCCCCCAGAAACAATGCAGTTTGTGATTAACTCACTATATATAAACAAGATTTCAATAGCCAAAGTAAACCTGAATTTTCAAATAATTATATAAAGATGTTCAGTATAATATGAATATTCATTTAAAATTCAAACCATAAGTGATCACTTAACAAAATAGATCCATTCTAACAAAAGTTGCCACAAAGTAAATTCCTGATAAATCTTGTTTCTAACTGTCCTAGATTATAAAAAGTAGACAATGTGTTCCACAAAAAATATTTGGACTCTGTGTTAGGCAGAATAATTTCAGACCCCCAAAAACATCCACATTTTAATCCTTGGAAACTGTGAATATGTTACTTTACCTGGCAAAAGGGATTTTGCTTATGTGATTAGGTTAAGAACCTTGAGGTGAGAAGATCATCTTGGATTTTCTGGGTGGGACCAGTATAATCACCAGGGTCCCTGAGAGTGAAATTGGGGAGCTGAAGAAGAGGTTAGTGTAATGTGATATGATAAGGACTTTACCCATCAAGGGCTTTGAAGATGGAGGGAGAGGGCTATGAGCAATGAGCAGCCTCTAGACTCTAGAAAGGCAAGGCCATAAATGATCTCCTAGAGCCTCCAGAAGGTAATATAGCTCAGCCCACACCTTGACTTTAGCCCAGTAGTTAGTGTCGAATTTTTAACTCACACAACTGTAAGCTAATAAATTTGTGTTGTTTTAAGCTGCTAAGTTTGAGATAATTTGTTAATGCAGCCAACAAAACTAGTACAGATTCTAATTAAAATTAAACCATACTTAAGAATATTACAGGCATTTAAAATCTCTTATTCAAAGAAAAATGGTAAATTACTAAACTATTGTAAAAATATCCTTATGATTACAATAATACTGTGCTTTAAGTCATAAAATAAAACAAAATTAAAAAGTCAGAAAGAAAAACTCGTACAATATGGTTGTATGGTTGTCTTCCTTCTATATTGACCCTACTGCTATGGTAGTAAAGTTACTTAACTTTACCATGCCAGCTAAATTTTATACTAGTACAAATATGAGCCACCTAAACACTGAACTTTATTACCAAGAAGATCAATTATTAATTTGGTATGAAAGTTAGAGGTTTCCTCAGCTTAATATTACTATTGATTATTTTAGTTCCTTTGAATTTCTAGACTCTTTGGGGTGGTGGGAAGGTTAGGAGACGATTCCAGGTAATTTTCTATCAAATAATGGACTCTATGACTAAAGATTTACATATTTCTTCTTATATGCCCCACCCCTTATTGTTCCCAAAAGTAAAGATAAAATTTCTTTCCCCTTCAGCCCTTTTTCTCCCAAAGGTAAAGATGAAATTTACTGAAAAATCTCGATAACAGAGAGATCTAAATTCATTTCCAAGAACATCAGGTCACCAACTGACTGTGATTCTACACATATCAAAATGCCATTTGCTGAGCCTGGCAAAATTCTAACCCTGACCACCTGGTTTAGGCTTAACCTACTTCACTTAGAGCGCCAGCAGGAGCCAGATGGCAGCACGTAGCATCCTGACTTTGGACTTCGCAGGACACAGTTCAGGAGAATGCATTGAATGCATGGGTCTTCTATGTTAGGAAGACTAAGTGAATTTCTGTTTGGTCAGTAATGCATATAATTTCAGAAAATAAAAATTATTTTTTATGCTTCTTTTCAGCAGAACCAATATGAGGCTGCTTTTGTTATGTTGCCTAAATCTCCCCCAAATGATGATAAAGGTGGTGCTCATTCTAGCAGGGGCCAGAGAACATAGCCTGGTGTGAGAAGCACTGAGTATGTGCTTGTTTTGATGGGTGAGGATTTCTTTCCTATGTATTATGGACTTTTCAGACCTCTCAGGGCATGTTCTCTACCCTGTGGTATGAAATCATAGCAAAGCCAGGCCCGGGCCAAGGAAATCTTCCATTTTCAGAGCTGTTGATACAAAAAAGCCACAGCTAACATTGCCTCCCTTGAGATGAATCTGGTTAAGTATTTTCAAGCCTGGAAGAAAGGATCGATTTTCTAGAATGGTCACTGAGGACACCCTGTGCCTCTCTATAGGTGTAGCATTGGTCTTCTCTTATGCAAAAGAAGGGACAAAGCCAGGAAATACATAAGACACATACATATATATGTCAGGAGGCAGCAAAACATGTGGTCAGGAGCTTAAACTTTGAATTCAGATGGCCCTGGGCAGAAATTCCAGGTCTGTCACTTACACACCTCTGTCGTTTTCTGCATGATACTTAAATTTTGATGTCTATGTCTCTACTCATAAAATGGAACAGTAGTAGTACTTACTTAAAAGTCTTCTAGTGAGGAGTATATGGGGTAAATCATATTAAGGACATTAGCCCGGTACCCACTCATCCTTCAATGACTCTCATTACCTTTATCCCAAGACTCTTCCAATACTGACATATCAGATGTCACATACCATTTAAAACTCACTTTCTGTGCATAACCCAATACTGCTACGTGGCAGAGGCAACTGGCACATGGGGCCCTCACATCAACAAAGGCAGATCTGAGGCTTTGGGCTGGTGACTACTTTCCCCAAGGCTCAGGAGAAGACAATGGCTGAACTGGGCACAGCAGCTAGTCCAAGATTCCAGTTGGTTTGAAAGAAAAAAACCCCTTTCTTACCTACTCGTCCTTTGCTTTTAATCTCATAAATAGATTTTAAGGTTGTAACTCTTAATATTGATCTTTTTCTTTGACACTGAATTTCCCCACCTGTTTCCTCTGATACTATGATTCCCTCCAGTCCTATTATTTGCAGTGTTTTTCTGTTTGGGAAAGAATTCAGAGTACCAGGGGAATGTCCTCTTCTCAGGCAATTTAATCTAGTGTAACGGTGTCATGTACTGCCCTGGTTAGTGCTTTACAAACAGAAACACGTCTAGAAAGCCACCACTTACTGTATGATTCCCACGTAGTTTTCAATCTCTGTTAACTGAGCTTTCCTCCAGTTTCTTTTATATCCAATCACCAGAGTGTTTGGTTTCATTCTTCCTAAGCCCGAGGCCTAAACAGAGGAGGTAAACACATGGGCAATCCTTACTATACCAGGCAACCACCATGGCAAACGAAAAATAATGTCCGAAAGGGCACTGGAGGAATGTTCTGATGATTCCGAAGATTAGATTACATTTTAGTGCATGTCCTTCATGCTCATACCCAAGCATAAAATAGGAAGATTAGTTCTAAATCATCTCAGCCATAAATGGATTTTAGATGACAGAAATGTAGCTTTTCTAAATTAGCAGTCATTTGCATTTCTTCTGACACACTCATTAAAATGCTTCAATAATTTAAAATCAAGTGAGGGTTGGCTTAACTGTTGGCATGCGTGTTATAACTTAGTGGTTCACAGCTAATTTCCACCTGTTACAGCCATAATGTCATTAGCAATAAAAATCCGTGTTTGGAAAATTCTTATGTACAAAAATCACTGAAACTTCTACTTCCATTATTTATTGAAGAGTAACTGAGCTATGTTTCCAGAACCTAATTCTTTTATGTGACAGCATCATTAATAGCCATCTTCCATATCAGAAGTTTCATTCCCCCCTTTAGATGACAGCATATGACTTCCAGTTAATTAGATTTAACTCAGAAAATATTATTGAGCACCTATTAATTGCAGAGTACTATGTTAGGTGCTGTGGGACAGTGGTGAGGCATAGTCTTTGGCCTTAAGGAGCTTAGAACAAGGTGGAAGAAACAAGTGATACACAAATAATTTTAGTTCAAGTGCAAATGCAGCAGGAACTCATCTGGAAGCATAAAGAAAAAAACCTTGAATTCCAGTTGAAGATTCACGAATGGTTTCATGGGGGAGGTGGCATTTGTCCTGGATCTTGCAGGTTGGTTAGACGTTGACAAGTAAAGATAAGGAGAGCAGTGGGAGCGAAGGAAGGACATTCTGGGTGATGACATAGTGAAACAAATGACCAGAACAGGACATTTTAGAGAGGACCGTAGCAAGTAGAGATGACAGGCCTTGATGGAGGGTTCCTAAAATAAGCTTTGCATCCACCACATTTGGTGGATTGCTCTTAAAAATGTGCAGGTAACAGAATAGCTCTTTTGGCCCTAGGCAGGTATATGGCAGTATGGTGCAGGCCTTTCCATGACTACAGTTTGGGGATGTGGTCACACATAACATAATTTCTTAGATGCAAAGGAGGCTTTATTCAAAATGGTATCATTGTCGATGCCTCCCTTTGTTACCCCTCTGTTGTGCCCTTTGTCATGACCCTTCTAAACTCCACCCTTCTTTGAAGAAACTCGTGAGACCAAGCTTTATGCACTGTCATTTTTAAAATAATTTCTTCTGGATTAATATATGAATTGTCTTTCATATCTATGTCTTTTTTCTCCCTGTTCCTATTCTATGTCTTTTGTCCTATTCCCAGTGAACATTTTTACTATTTTTCCAATCTTCTGTGATAAGTTTACGTTAATTTGCAACCTTTACAACATATTTAACCAAAGAGCTACTGCAAAGTAGCTCGATACTGAAAGAAAAATCAGCATCTTGCAATGACTTCTATTTCCATGGTTTGGCAAATTAATAACAGATGAAAAGAGGCTCATTGGGTGCACTAGGTCTTTCAGAAATGGTTTCTCTGCATGCGCAGCCACTTTGCAAGTGTTCGTCAGGGATATTAGAGACAGGAATGCATTGAAAACTCTTAATCTCCAAATATTACAATCTAATCCATATTTTTCTTTCCTGCCTGCACCAGCGCCAGAGTTAGCTGGATGCAGTTCTGAATGTTGACACTCCTGTGTGTGGCAACTCTGAAAGCCAAATGACTCATTCGGTATATGTAGAATCAGGGCTATTCAGCCATGCTAATGCCAAAATGATTAGAAAGCCAGTCTCTTGGATTATGTTAAGGAAACTGACACTCTAAATTATGAAGATCAGAACAAGGAGAAGAATTTATGTACTTACTATAGAAGGGGAGGAAAAAAGAAAGAATAACTGAGAAAAGATGGGAGAACTGTGGGTTTTAGTGTTGAACCACCGATTTTTACATTTTATTCAACATTCTAGAAATAATTTAAGAGGCTAGGGGGATTTTTCGTCCAGATTGCCATGCATTTATTTAGCCTAGCGGCCCTCACACCACTTGCAAAAGAAAAAAGAAAAAGAAAGCCTGACTTGAGCATGGCTAGATGCGAAAATATTTGAAGTTTTAATAGGATCCTGAGTGTCCTCAACCATCGGGAACAAATTTGCATTTCAATAGATATGGGGACACAATGTATGCAGCTGGCCAAAGGCAACCTCCTTTTCCATCGCCAGTGAGTCACTGGTAGTTCGCAGTGACAGGGCCTCCTGCTTCTGTTTTCTCCTGGCCTGTCCGCAGGGATTCAGAATGAGCCCGGGAGCCACTCGCCCCGCCGGCTTCGTTCACGCGCAGCGCTAACTGTCCTTGGCCTGTGCCCTCGATCCCTCGGCGCTGGCCTTACCTGGAGGAGGCTCCGGACACCGTCCCTGAAACAATCTGCGGCCACCGCAGCATAAAACGCCTTGATTTTGTTCTTGATAAGCCAGGCCTGCTTTTTCGCCATGCCGCTGTTCATCTCTTTAACGCACAGCTTGCGCGGCCCCTGTGTCACACGAAGAAATGTTGGTCAGGAGCCCTGCTGGTGCGCACCGCACTGCTGCTGCTCGCTGGAAGGCGAAAATAGCTGGCAGTGCCCCATTGAGTTAACAAATGGGAAAGAGGGAAAGCACCCCAGTAAACGGGGTTCCCGCAGGCTCAGCCTTTTGGAGACGACCTGTGCTGTTCCTGACACTGGCCTCCTACCCCGGGGTCGAGGTGTGCAAATACCTGCTTAATTACCCGCGCATGCTGACTGGAAGAGAGAGCTGAGGGCACCAACGCACGGGGAAAAGAGTGAAAATGTGATTGAAGAAGTTCAGGATAAATATTCGATCACCCTTTGATTCAACAGCGAGGGCCACTGCTAAGAACACCAGTGAGAGTCAGAGCCCAGCTTCGCGACACGGCCCGCACTCTCGGGAAGCAGGGCCTGCTGGCCCGCCTGGCCTGCCTCGGCCTGGCACGTCCTCGCGTCTTGACAGTTCCATTGGGCCCATCGGTTGCTTTCTGTGTGTCGTAAGGAAACCCTGCACCGTTTTCCCGGTGTGATGCTGGTGTACTCCCACTCCGATAAATCATCGTGGCCCACTCGCTCAGTCCATTTGGTGGGAACAAAAGCTCACCTACCCACAGCAATGGAAGAATGGAAGAAATGAAGACAAGAAGGCAGGCGTTGTGGCAGACGAAGCATTTTATAATTTCAAGATTTGAGTTCCAGAAACTCATTTTTAACTAAAAACTTTATTCTCATCTTTCCTACTTTAAAGGTCCAAGCTAGCTTTTCCTTCAATGTTTCAAATCCATCCAAAAGGTATTTCTAGTAATCTACTAAGTGCAGACAGGGTAGAAATCTATTATTTTCCTGAGAAACTATTTTTGGAATTTTGTTGAATTGTCTTAGATCGGTTACAATCCACCTGGAACTTGATAAAATGCAGTGTTGGTCTGGAATGGGGCTCAAGATTCTGCATTTCTAACAACTCCTGGGGACATGGGTGCTGCTGGTCCTCAGAACACACTTGGAGTGGCAGCCTTAGAGGGTCTTAGATTGGAGAGAAAGGGCTCTGGATGCGTGAAAAAGGCACCAGGCTTTGTGGTCAGACAGAACTGGTTTCAAATCTAAGCTTGGCCACTCTGGAGGTACCTGATGATCTTGGAGCATTTAGATATTATTCTGAAAACACGAATAAAAATCTCTATCCTGCAAGGTTGTTTTAAGTAGTCATGATAAAGTCCCTAGTATAGTGTCTAGAGTATAGTAAGTGCCTGTCCAAAGTTGATTTTTTATTTTCTGAACTGAGTGCTTGCAATCTCACTGAAGCCCCCAACCTGATTCTACAACAGAGACGCAAGAGGGCTGAACCGGGAGCCAGAGTGCTGGGTTTAGGCCTGGCTCTGTTACTGACTAGCCAGTACCTTGGGTATGCCACTCGTCCTCTTTGGATGTGGGTTATACTTTAAAAGAATAAGGAAATTGTCTAGGTTTTCACTGCCCACTATAATAGCCCTTATCCATATGTTACTATTGAGCATTTGAAATGTGGCTGGTCCATATTGACATGTGCTAGAAATGTAAAATACCCCAATCAGGGATCAAACCCTCAACCTGGGTAGGTGCCCCGACTGGGATTTGAACTCTCAACTTTTTGGTGTATGGGATGACACTCAAACCAACTCAGCCATACCAGCCAGGGCTATATTGATTGCATTTTGAAATAATATTCTGAATATATTACATTAAATAAAATATATTAAAATTTAACTTTATCTATTTCATTTTACTTTTTTAATTGGCTGCTAGAAAATTTTGAATTACATTTGTGGCATATATTAACTCTGTATTACACCACACTAGATGATCCCTGGGGTCCCTTCCACTTCAATATTCTATTTAAATTGAATTGATCAGATTCTTTATGTACTTATTTTTACCAGAATATTTTCTAGAACATGTGACAATTTTTCAAAACCGTTTGGATGACTTACATTAAAGTTCAAAAATAAGAACCTTCAATGAAGATGGAGAAAATAAAGATATAGGGAGGATAGTTACAGGAGACTTAGCCTAAGGAAAGATATGTCATTATGGGTCAAATTTTCCTCAGGGTTCTAGACTGTCAATGCATTTTGAACTACTAGTCCTTCTTGGGCATTCTAGGCTCCATCAACTTCAAAAGTAAGAAGGAATATTTTATTCAAGTAGGCTCAATGGTAACAACAGCCATGAAACCGAAGAAAAACCAACAGCTAGGAAAAGTATTGGACCATCAGTATATTGAGTTGCTCCACAGTGACTGTGAACCCCTGAAGAAACNTTTTCCTATAGTATATTGAGTTGCTCCACAGTGACTGTGAACCCCTGAAGAAACCGCCANCATCAGTATATTGAGTTGCTCCACAGTGACTGTGAACCCCTGAAGAAACCGCCATTTATTATATTTTAACTAAATACAGTGTAACATATGTCTATTTATAATACAGAAATCCAGATTAAACATTAACTGTGACAGACAGATTTACTTTAATGCCTAAGTTTACCATATTGAGAAGTCATAAAAATATTTCATATTGAATCTCTCTTGGCTAAAAAATTATAATATCCTTTTAGCACACTTATTAATGTGAGACAAGGCCGAATACAAATGTAGTAAGAAAGAAGTAAACTAACAAAGAGGGAAGACATACTGGAAAATAATTATTCAACATTCAAATATGTCATAGTCACAAAAATGAATTTTACCACCCTATTCAAATATTACGGAGATTAGCTCAGTTAGGATCCAAAACATGAGTATATAAATTAATTGAGGACTTGAACAAAGAAGCTCTAAACATCTTGAATATATTATAACTTTGACATTTATTGAGAGAAGGGTAAAGAAATTATAATTATTTAGTCTGGAGAAGAAGTTTGATGTGACTCTACTTCAAATAAATGAATATTATGAAAAAGAATTTACAAAGGAATTCCAATATCATCAGGATTAAATAGAGGGATTTGGGCCAAGAGCAGTGTCCTTTCCAATTTTTATTTTTCAAAACATTGAGAGTCCTATTGCTCTGCTTGTGCTTTATTACCCCTCTGGCTGGAACTGTGGGAAAGAGAATTTTTCCTTTGCTGATTTATCCACATTTTATTTCACATGAATCCTAGTGCCCATTCATAGGTCATTTCATTCTTCCTATATTCGGTCATATCACTATTTTATTAACACCATGACAGAAACTTATTGACTTAAGGAGAATAGATGCATCTGAAGAAGAATGTATTTTCTTCTTAGTTGATATGAAGGCTGAGATTAAGAAAGCGTTGAAGATAGAAGAAAGAATGAGAATTTTAGTTTTCCCTGGCTTATCTATGCTTGAACTACCCTCTTTTACAATGAGAGGAAAGGACAGGATGTTCAAGGTTTAAAGAATATTAAAAAGAAAAAACCATTAATCAAGGTAAATGTACATCGTGGTACACATATGTGAAATGACTGGAAGAATGTCAATAAAATTCGGACAGCATTTCCTTTGGGGAGGGGGCAGAGTCATGGGCCTAAGTGGTTACAAAGGGGACTTCAGCTTGATCTGTATGGTTTATTTCACTTAAAAAGTGAATAGAAGCATATATGACAAAAAAGTTAACAGTTGTTTATTAGGAGAAGTAGAATATAAAGCCTCTTGGGATATAAATATGTCACTGATTTACTATACAGAATTCAAAAATAGACATTAAATTACCAAGCTGGGTTCCTTAAAAAGGTCCCCAAATTTGTTTTAATAAAGGGTTCCTCATCTGAAATCTTTAGCTGAGTAGGAAAAAGGCACGAGAGCAGGAACTGGCTCTAATGGTGAGCGTAAGAGTTAGTTGGATAGCTGGGAGGCTGTAGTATGGGCTATAGTGTAATAATAACTCTCTTCTATCAATTTCAGCAGCCTTGAGGGCTATGATGACTAGTCCTTTAAAAATGCCTTGGTCGTAGGAAATGGCAGCCGTAACCACATGCTTTTCCTCTACCCACCAGCATCAAAATGTCAGTGAGCTGAGTCTTGCTCCTTCCTTGTAGAGTAACCACACCTCAAGCTAGCACTTCAAATAACTGAAGGCCACCAGAGGGACAGAGCACGGAGACTGCGGAGACATAGGAGTACATATCTCACTGTTCCATCACGATCAAGCTGTTGGGTACCCAAAAAGGCCAAGATCCAGTGTCTGGACCTGGTTTGTTTAAGGGAGAGTGCTTTAGGTTTCTGTTGAAGGGGATATATTTTTGAAATGAAAATGGCAACTGCAGTAATTACCAAAATAATGATAATGATAATAACAATATCAACAATAACAATTCAAATTCATTGAGCCTATATTATTTGACAAACACTGAGTTAAGCACTAGAGAGCTTATCTTACAGAATTCTCACAACAACCTTGAGAAAACTGAGGCACAGGGAGACTAAATTATGTGCCTGAGGGACTCACAGCTAATAGATGGCAAAACAGTCATTCAGGTCTTGACCGTGTGTCTCAAAAGCCCACGAGCACTAGCTTCCTAGCATTAAACATTAAATTGTCATCCCTTAACATCACTGTTACTATTGAACCTTTTCCACAAAGTTAGTCTAACCACCAACCACTGTGCTTTTGGAAAAAATTCTCTAATGGTGACTTTCCCCACGTCCCCTTCCATCTGTTTATTTGCAAAGATGATTGAAGACCGAACATGGATTGAAAAATGCTGACAGTATCTGCAGCCCCAGGAGCTCATAGAAAATAACTAACTGAAAAGTCATTAACTGGAGCAGGATCTATTTTCTGTCCCCTAGAGAACCTCAGTACCTGGGAGTAAGACTCAGAGAGACCAGCGCAGTGATGTATAATATGGTCCAATATGCATGTCAAACAACCAGGCCGTTGGAGGCACAGACTTAGGTGCCTACTTTACATGAAATGATATTCCAGAATCATACTCTTTTATTATAGTTAAAGCAGCAAAGGGTTAATTAAAAGCAATATCTTTTGTCTCTATAAAAAGACCTTTCCTCCCTTGCCAATATATGACTGTTTATACTCCCAGTTCATTTCTCCTGCCCTGAAGGTATCTTATTGCCTGCTAAACTAAGTTTTCTCTAAATTGCCAGAGAAGAAAAACACCCCAAACTGCTTATTCCATCAAAACCCACTCCTGTATTATATTGGCCAAAATGAAATCCACTCATCCAGGGCACCAAAGTTGATAATATGAGAAAAGGGTGCTTGATAAGATTTTTTTAAATCCTCTGGAGTCGCAGTTGGTCATTACTTAACCTGTCAATCTCATGTATTCTGTAGGATCCCCTTCACCCCACACTGGATAATTGCATTGAGTTATATTGTTTAAGTTACTATCACATAAGCACCGAGAGGAAAGATAATATGACCAACTGGCTTCATAGGGCATTTAGAGTACTGCCAAGTGTAAAAAGATGCTTAAGTGCTGGTCATGACGACATTTGATAAATTAACCCCTGCGTGATGGCACAGTGGACTGGCCCAAGGGTTACATAGCTTCCTCATGGCCCTATCACTCACTGGCAGGTAGTGGATATTTAGTGGTACCTGATTCTAATAACGCTCTCAGGGCACAAGTCTGCTAAAGCTTTCTCTCATGATGTAACACAGCACAATCGGGTGGCCTGGACTGACATCCTGGCTCTGTCCCTTTCTTGTCATTTGACCCTGTGCAATAACTCAATTTTCCTGAATTTCACTTTTCCCATCAGTGAAGAGAACAAGGCTTCTTTTGCTTTCTGCCTCACTAAGCTGTTATGTAGGTCAAATAAAAACTGTAGGAAAATGCTTTGAAGAATAGGTAACTATTATAAAATATGTTGAAGTAGATAAGAATTTTGAGCGGTGAGTGTGTGAGAGGGGGAGAGTGAGTTACGGGAACACCAGATACAAGTAGAGATAGACTGGTTTGAAGGACTTAGATTTATTATTTTGTTATAATTTTTTCTCCTCACTTTACAGATTGGTTATCAGTCAATAATTATGGTTATTTTTTTAGCATCTATTTAGATATCTTCTGGGAAGACCACCCGTAAGTTATCATTAGTCTACCGCACACTTCCTGAACAAAAAGGAATTAGTTTGGCTCTGAATGATGTTTATCTAAGACATGGAAAACCTGGTTTAATTCCCTAGATATCTATAGTGTCATCAAGTTCATCCAAATATCTAATCTAAATTCTATGTGCTCTCTATTTAAGGCCATTAGGTCTGGTTCTCTCCAGAAGGTAGTCTGTATAATGGCACCCTCTGGCTCATTTCATCCTGTTATGTTTCTGTGGACAGTTATGACCCCAAATGCCTTCATTTTATTTATTTATTTCTGAGCCAGTTCTCTTTTTCTTGACTCAAAGGCCATCATTTAGAAATATTTATCACTTTTAGTTGGTCTCCTGTGAAATCAGAAGCACATTTTATCCACTCATTTAAATTCAGGATCACGGGCCCTTGCTAGTCCTTGCTATATGAACCAAGGAAAAAGGCTCTTGTCCAGGCTGCCTTGCCATCCTCCTATCACCGTGTGTACCCGTTCGGCTCATCCAAAATAACACAAGGGGAGCAGAGAGAAAAAGGCGCTTTTCTGGGATGAAGTGGCTCTTACCACAAAGACTTCACAGCAGATGCAGAGGCCACTGTTCTTGGTGAAGGCATGAGTTATGTCTAAGAGAGCAGGTCTTGTCATGGGTCCCCCGGTTAGGACAATGCATTGGGGCCTGGAAGTGGAGAAAAGAACTTGTGAGAGCTGACTGTTGCAAGAAGCTTATGAGCTCAGGACCACCCCGATGGAAATGGCAGGGACAGAAGGCCTGGCAAAATGGAACCAACTCTCCCCTGCATATTTCTTGGGTTTCTCACCAGAAGTTTTAAATCATCCTGCCTGGCCTTCTTGCCATCTGTGTATCCTTAGTTCAGTTAGTGACAGCTAAGATGTAAATAAGGAAAGGTGGTCTTGGGATGCCCCTGTCTTTGTTCCTCTGGACACTATCCTAGTCCAAATCTAGCACAGCCTTCCCTTTTCCACACAGTACTGTCCTTCATCTTCCTTGCAAAACTTGTGCTTTGAGGGTCCATTCAAAATAAGACATACCTAATAAAGAGCTTAAAGTGTCACTTCTCAGAGAATTCAGTAAGCCACAAAGCATTAAGCTGAATGGAGACATCACCAAGGATCAAGGTTTGTGGGCATGTGGAGACATCTCTCTAAAATCATGTCACTTAGGTCACCTCTGTATCCCCATGCACGGAAGGTGACCCTCGGCACTATGAGGGTTTCTAGTGGGGGTGGGCATAGCTGAGAAGAAACACTTGTTGACAGGAGGTGCTGTCATGAAGTGTGGGAGCTTGCATGACTGCCTAGTCTTAACTATACCCATAGAGCATATAACCACTCTTGTGCATTTGTACCCCATAAAGAAAAGCAACTTCTAATGCGGAACAACAGCAGGATGCCTGAGAAGCCAGTTTTACCTGAAATTTTTTACATGGTCTTCCACTGTGGTTAATTCCAGAGCATTGTCCAAAGCGCTCACATAAGAGAGAGCCTGTGTGGAGGAGCCCCAGTTCACATCTGCGGAAGAAAGGAGTATGGCATAAAAAATACTGACTTTCCCTCTGTACACTGTGCGTAATTTTCATAAGCGATTCCCTTCTATGATTTTCTCTGGCTATGGCAGCAGTGACGAGTGTGCAAGTTAGAGAACATATAATGCAGTATTGCCTAGAAAGAGCATTGTTCATCTATGAGCACTTTGTGAATTCTTAGAAGTGAGACCTCCCTTTCTAGCTCAGGCTTGAAGGCTGCAGCCCCCCAAATCCTGCTCTGTGGAGAGCCTGGGTGATAGCCACACTGCAGACGACAGGCTTGAGAAAACGATGGGCCCCTGAATAAATTCAAGAGTTCTTCACAAATTCTTAAGCTGGAAAAAAAAAGAGGCATTTGTATACACAGATAGTATGCAATAATCTTTATATTTAGAATTGTAAAACTGAATAGCTCAGTAATTCTTACTTCTGGTTGTCCAGGAAGAGGATCAATCATTATTAAGCACTTTAGTTTTATCTTTTAAGACCCAATCTTCATAATAAGGGATGTAAGCACTACTGTACTTTGCCTTTTTCTTGAACAAATTAAATACTAGATGGATTCTCTAAATTTTATAAGAGTCAGTCCCTGATAGGAATGTACAGATTCACTCCAGATGGCAGACAGAGCCATCTCCCCAGTCTTGCTTTGAAGAGTCAGGGAAATGGTGGAGGATCATTATCTCGAGATAAAGAAGATTAAAATTGATTAAGTGTTGACTATGCACAAGGCATTTAGCATACCTTAAGTTAATTTATCCTTATAAAAATGCTACTAGTCAATTGGATATTTATATGTAAAAAAAAAGAACCTTGAAGTATTCCTTACATTATATACAAAAATTAACTAAAAATGAATAATAAGCATAAATTTAAAATTTAAAGCATTAAAACTTGTAGGAGAAGTTTGTGACCTTGGATTAGGGATGGATACCTTGATTAGAAGCAAAAAGTCAAACCACAAAATAAAATAAAAATTAATAAATTAAACTTTACAGAAATTAAAACTGCTCTTCAAAGCAAACTATAAGAAAAATAAAAGGACAAGTCACAAACCTGTAGGTAATATTTGCAAAACACATGCTGTAAAGGATTTGTACCCAGAATTTATAAAGAACTTTTAAAACTGAATAATAAGAAAACAACTCAAAAAACGGGCAAAAGAATTAAAGAGACACTTGACTAAAGAAGATATATGTTTGGTAAATAAAGTGTTCATCATCATTAGTCATTGGGAAAATGCAAGCCAAGCCACAGTAAGACAGTACTTCACATCTATTAGAATGTTTGTTTGTTTCTAATCAACTGACAATACTAAGTGCTGACTAGGACATGGAGCAACTAGGACATTCATTCATTGCTGGTAGGAATGGAAAATGATACAGCTACTGTGGCAATTTCTTATAAGGTCTACATTTATTATATAATCAGAAATCTCACTCCTAGAGAATCAAAACATAGATCCACATAAGGTCCTGTGTGTGAATGTTAACAGCAACTTTACATAAAATCACCCCAAGATGAAAACAGCCCAGTGCCCATCAACTGGTGAATACATTTTTAAAATGCTCACCAGAGGATATATTTATTGATTTTAGAGAGAGTGGAGGGGTGAGAGAGAGAGAGAGAGAGAGACATGGATCTCATGGATCTGTTGCCTCCCATATGAACCCAGACCTGGGATCAAACCCGTAACCTAGGTATGTGCCCTGACTGGGAATCGAATCCGCAACCCTTTAGTGTACAGGATGATGCTCCTATCAACTGAGCCACTCAGCCAGGGCCTGGTGAATACATTTTAAAAAAAATTTTGAGACATATTCACACAATGCAATGCTACTCAGCAACAAAAAGAACAATTACTTATACACACAACAACATGGATGAATCTGAAAGTATCCTGTCAAGTGAAAGGGAGCACACACAAAGGCTATACAATATATGATTCCGTATAATATTCTGGAAAAGGCAATGTCCTTATTAGGACAGAAATCAGAAAAGAGGTTGCCAGGGGCTACGTTGTAGAGAAGAGAATGGCTACCGTGGAGTGTCGAGAAACTTATAGTGATGATGGAAATGCCCTGTCTTGATTCCGGTGGTGGTTACAAGACTGGAAGTTTGTCAGAGTTATAGACTGTACACATAAAAGGGGTGAGTTGGAGCAAGTATCACTCAAGTTCACTGAGATTCCAATTACAAAATATTTAATCCAAAGTGGGAAACACTTGTGAGGGAAAGAGTCCAATACTCAGCTGCCATTTCCAAATGTTCTCTTCAATTAGATATTAAATGGCAGAAGACACGTCAACATCAACCCAACACATTAAGGGCACTGTGACTTTCTTACTGATTGCACATTATTAAGATTTTTATTGAAAAGGAAAGAAATCATTGAAGCCACATTTGTATATAACTTTAATAAAGGTGGACTTACTTTAACCCAGAAAAAAATTAAAAATAAATAAATAAATGGGGTGAGTTTTACTCTATGTAAATTATGCTAAAAATACATGAAGTGATAAGACTGAGCAACAAACAGGCCCCTCGAAGGTAGTTGCTACCTTCTCTGCTTTACTTGCGGAGTAAGGGTCAGGGGAGTGTGGCGGGGGCTCCGGCCCCTGAGACTGGGCCTCTCAGTACCTGGCTCTGTGGTCTCCAGCCTCCCCCTCCTGCAGTCTATCCATTTCTCTCCTTTTCTCAGCAATTCATTCATGTAAACTCTCACTTTACATGTGATATTTATATTATTATGTTATATTAATTATATTATATTAATTATATTATATTTATTATATTATGTTATATTATATCATATTATATTAACTGTTCATTACTTATATGTGGATCTCTGAACTTCTTGAGGACAGGGACTTTATCTCATTCATCAGGACATTAGAAGGCGATATAATGGGAAGCTTGTGGGGTTTGGTATCGTAGACACTGCAATTAAAATGTCAGCTCCATCAGATCCTGACTGTTACCTTGGCAAGTGGTCAACTCTTTGAACTCGTTTCTTCATCTGTAAAATGTATCTAATAATTCTTAATGTACAGCATGATATATGATAAATGCTCAACAAAGTTAACTATTGTTATATTACATTATATTATTGGTATCCACCATACACATGGCACACCTAAGCACGTAGGAGCTGCTCTATACCTGTTTGTTGAATAAATGAGTAGCTAGAGGCTGCTTTGTAAGCCTACTCCTATACAGCCCTTCTTATCTTACCTGGCTTCTTGTAGGTCACATAGATATAGAGAAAGAACTCAATGACGTAGGTGATGACGGCTGCCCACCAGTTGATGACAAACATGACCGCACAGCACAAAACAGCTCCAAAAAGAGATACCCACATGTTGTAAATTCCATACGCAGGTCTCCATCCTGAAAGTAAAAAAAAAAAATTTTTAAATCTATGTGTACAAGAAAATCTTCCACACTACCAACACCATGCCACTGCACAGTATCAGAATACAGGTAACATGTTTCTTCCTAGCATAAAAAATCAGAGCTTTTAGGTCAAGTTTCTAATTCTGTTATTAGTTTTCTGTAATCTTGGGTCCCTGGCCTATGACAGTGTAATTATACCAAATAGGGATGCTATGAAATACAGAAAAATGTCTCTAGTGGCCCCTCCTCACTTCTTGCATGCCCCCTAATTGTCTTCCCAAACTAGGAAATCTTGAGTATCTGATATCTACGTCATTAGGAGCTAAGAGGTGGCAGGAGCAATGGAAAAGTGGGGAATTGTGGGGAGGGTAGGAGGAATTCCTTGGTGGGCCAAGAAGGAGGAAGGTAAGACAATGGGCTTACTCTCCCATGAAGAAGGCAGAGCAGTCATCAAGTCAACCCGTTAACTCCCTGCTAGCTCTTCCTTTACCTAAGAGGGCAGAGCTTGCCCATTCAGAAGAAATAATCGATGGGAAAAGAGGGAGAAATTTGTCTGCACTGTCTTCTTAAACCCAATGCATTAATATGTTTTGCACCTACAATGAAAATATTTCTCATGGTTCATATATGCAAGGGGGTTTCCCATGTTTTATTATTAGTTCCCTGAAATTATAGAAGCCCAGCCAGGTGTGGCTCTGGGGTTGAGCGTTGACCTAGGATCCAGGCGATCAGGGTTCGATTCCTGGTCANCGCAAGGGGGTTTCCCATGTTTTATTATTAGTTCCCTGAAATTACAGAAGCCCAGCCAGGTGTGGCTCTGGGGTTGAGTGTCGACCTAGGATCCAGGCGATCGGGGTTCGATTCCTGGTCAGGGCACATGCCTGGGCTGCGGGCTCGATCAATGACTCTCTCATCATTGATGTTTCTGTCTCTCCCTCTCCTTTCCTCTCTCTGAAATTAATAATGATATATTTTAAAAAAATAAAGAAAGAAATTATAGAAGCTGGGAGAGAGCAGGGTCAGGATGGGGAAGCTCTGATTTGAAGGGTATGTTTGGTCTCCGGATGAAGTACATTTAAAATCTGGAGTTGCCAAAACACAGCAGGTCTTCTGAAGCAATTTCCTAAATGGCCACAAGATGGATACAGCACTTTGAGAACGTCACTGGAAATGCCCTTATTTCAGGAGCCCGGCTTTGTGTGTGTGTGCGCGCCTGTGCGTGTGCGCGCCTATGAACTAGATAAGAGAGAGCGAGGGCGAGAGAAAGAGAGAGGTGGGGGGAGTGTCAGTGTCCGGGCCTGAATGTCTGTACGTCTCCCTCCTGCGGCCTTTCCGTTTCTCCTCCCTCTTCCTCCCTCTTCCTCTTGCCCTCCTCCCGTTTCAGCCTTTCCCCGCCCGCCTCTCTCCCTGGGCCTTGTCTTTCGAAAATGGCCATGGCATGGCGCGGGGCGCACGTGTCTGGGATTCGTCGTATCTGACTAGAACGTTCTGTTCTCCGCTTAAAGGAAGACACCACCACAGACACAGAAGCCCTCAGTGTTTCCGCTCCTCCAGTGGCCTTGGGCGGTGAAGGCTCCCCTTCCATCTACCGTTTGTCTTAGTGACAGCAGCTTCTCCAAAAGGGGCTCAACTGTGGCAGGCCCTAAACAGGCCGAGATGTGCTGACCCCCGACCGACCCAAGCGCTCACGGCGAGGAGCCTTCTGCAGGTCCATACAAGTCCCTGTTCTGGTGGGAAAGGCAGGAGAAATCTGTTGGCAGTGGAAGCGAACAAGAGGTGAGGGGCCACTAGACCGGGGAAGGCCCTTTGGTGTGTAATTTTGCAGCACTTTAAACCACAGGCTGAGAGGACAGGGATGTCACCAGCTTCGCTGTGAGTCTGTGTTGACTACTCTCAGCAGGTAATTACGGGAGCTACTCATCCTTCCCTTCTGCACTACGGGCAGGAAACAAATTGATAGTAGGGAAGTTTCAAATATATACATTTATTCCACTTCTGTGGTCACTTTCACCATGGAAATAAACAGTGGTGTTTTTCTACTGCTGAAATAAATGTGGTTTCTCTTGCAATGAATAATTTATTGCCGCAGGAGAAAATTGACTTTACGGTTGGTGAGAAAGGCCACTGCTCAAATGATTCTTTTTCTATTTCCGAAGTCATCCCCCGACTCACCAAAACAAAGTGGGTTACACTGCCCACTAGGATACAAGGAAACAAATAAGCACAAATTAAACACTTTCACTGATTTACTTCATTTTATTGACACTAACTGTTGGCTGAGGCTTATTTTAGCTTTGAAAAGTCGACTTACCTGGAGATTTGGCATAAGAGGCATGGAAGCAGGAGAAATTAATAAGTGCATATGAGGCCAGGAAAAAGTTGGAGATTATGGGAGCAATGGTGTTCAGTTCCGCTGTGAACAAAGCAGAAATGAGCATGTACATATGAGTGATGAGACCAGGGGCTGAACAGCTGTTGCAGCCTGGAAGCTTGACTTTATTTGGAGATTGAAAACATAGCTAGCATCTGTCAAAGTTTAAGAAGTTAGTGATTTTTCTTTGGGCTGCATTCATTTTAAAACCTGTTCTTAGTCAGAGTTTCTTTTCCATAAAGTAAGAAGCAAAAAAACCTACCAATCAGAAAACTGGCAAACAGGACCTCTACCTGCAAAAAATTTGAGTGGGAATGGAGAGAGGGTTTGGGGACCGGGCAGATGATAAACTCCCCTGTGGCTATTCCAGAGGAACCAAATCCTGTGTTCTTTATCTGCTATGCATGCCAAGGCTGAAGGGTGACAGATTAGTTAAATACTAGTGCAGCAGAAATGCCTACTTGGAAATCTCTCTGCATGTACCCAACTTGCTCTCTCTGACTTTCAGAGCCCTTGTTAGTCATTTGTACTTTTCTACATCTCTAGAGAGTTCTACCTCTCAAATTTGTCAAAAAAATGTTTTATTGCTGTAGCCAGCCAGTATGATTTAATTCCAGCTGAATTGTTGTGATAGAAGAAATAATTTAGAGATAGCTCTATTTCTCTGAATGTCAGGTGTCTATCAACCCTGGTGATGCAAATGCAGGTGGCAGCTGGGTGTGGAAGCCAGCGAGGAAGCAGGCAAAAATAGCTGCCACAACGCTGGTGCTATGGAGCTAACCTGCCTTGTTCTAAAAGAGTGATTTTTAAGGGTATTATTTAATTTATACAATTTTTAAAACTTTGTCTATTTGGTCACTTAAATGCAGTATATAGGGCAATGATTTGAAGTTTTAAAGCTTACTTTACATAATTGAAACATCTATACAGAATCACTTCTATACAAAAAATTTTAAAACATCTCTCAAAACTTGTTACCTGTAACAAATATCTTTAGCCTTGTGGAAATCTTTTGAAGATTCAGGAACTACAGTCACATCCTGAGTTTCTGTGATAAGGAGGAGCCCTCATTGTTTGGCACCTCTGTGCTGAAGAAGACTCCGCCCATCTATGCACAGTAACCATCACCCTTACCTCTTGTGTCTTTTCCTCTAATGTGCTCACCAGCAAAAGTGATGCCTTAGGGAGCAGTGAGGCTACACTGATGTGTGTGCCTCTCTGAGATTATGTAGCTGTTTCTAGATTTGTTTAGGGAGCAGATGAGATTAAAGTCTAGGTTAAGTGGCTCTCAAACTTGTCACCAGAAATTCTGATTCTAACTCTTGGGTTGTGCCTGAAAAACCTGCACTTTAACAAACCCACAGGTGATTCTGATTCTGACACAGGTGGTCAACGGACCACATTTGAGAACAGCTGCCAGGCTGGGGGGTGGAAAGACTGGTGGCAGCTGGGGAACACTCTGGGCTAGACAATAACAGGGAGGGTGGGGGATGGGTTCAGTTACATTTGGTTGGGTGGATTTCCAACGCTCAGATTCAAAGAGGAGATTAAAGTCCGACATCCACCTCAAGACTTCAAAGGCCCTCTTCGGACAAGAATTTCTCATTTCCTTCTTAGGCAGACTCCAATATTCCCCAATGGAATATTGAACATAAAACAGGTAACTTCTCAAACTAAAAGGGAAACCTTATGAGTAGCAGAGTTTTTTGGCTTTCGGTGGGAACAAGAACACTACTAACCAATAAGAATGAATGCCATGGCAATAACAAAAGTGAGGACGTATCCTCTGAGTGGTTCGTTGTTTTTCCCATATCCCTTCGCAAAGAACTGCAGGGCTTTGTAGATGTTGTCCTTGCACAGAGCCTGATGGGAAAGGAGAGGAGAAATCAGTCATTTATATCTATGTACAGTCATTTTCCCTGGGTGATTCAAACAAGGAGATTGGGCGAGAGATGGAGCGATACACAATATGAGGCACAAGTTAACACTGCAGTTCATCACTCTTTATATTATTTGGATCGATCTCGACTCTGTGGCAGACATAGCGTTTGAGCCAGATGCACACATGAAAGTGTTTCAGAAAATGATGGAAAATGATTGCTGGTGAGAATGAATATTTCAGCCTGATCCCTGTTCAGTGGCAAGAGCGGGAGGGAGAAACACATGCTCTTGGATCACCTGGAACACTTTGGGGGCGCTGACGAGGGAGGCCAGGGCGGAGGAGAGCGTTGCGGAGAAGATGCCAGCCGTGATGAGGGGGCCGAACCCTGACACCATGCTCATGACCTTGAGAAGAAAGGTTCAAGTCAGGACACTCATCCAATGCAGAGCCAAAACAAACAAATGAACAAACAAACAAATAACTAAAAATAGCCAGATTTTCACCCAAATGCTTCCCTTTCCACTTTCTGTGATGTGGAATCTCCTTTATAAGCTACTTGTTTCTAACCAGAACCCCCTCCCCACCCTGCTCGTTTCATTCTGGAGTTGTTTTATTTCAAAATGGAAACGGCCTTTTTGTTGATTATAAAAATAATAAATGCTCATCACCACACATCCAGAAGATACTGGAAGGAATAAGGAAAGAGGTTTCAAGGATTTTGATAGCATTTCCCCCTCTGTCTTTTGTGAACATATGTTTTTTCATGACGGAAAATTCTATCTCACAGAAGGTGGTGTTTTAATAAGGCTTGGGGAGGGACTCAGCTGTTCGACAGCTTCTTAAAGGCATCAGTCTCTCTCGTTCTTCTTGGGCATAGAGGCTTTTCAAATCTTGGCCTTCTCTGTGCTCATTAAACATAATTTTAGATCTGAGACATGATGAGATTCTATCCATTTAAGCCATATTTTGGAATAATGAGACTTCAGCTGAGTTAATTTCTCTTTGTTGGTTGTTAAAATAGATGAATGAAGCCTTCACGACAGACTTCCCTCTCCCTCTGCTTACCAATCATTTAGACAAATTAATATGTTTCAAGTCCTACAGTTTTCCCAACTTTCCTTGTTCCTTCCCCCTCATTTACCTCCCCCTCTGCCACTCAGAATTTCCCTGCTGGCCTTGTCTTCCAGGCTCCCCAGGACCACTGCAGAGGCCTTTCCCAAACTGAAGCCCAAGATTGAAATGCACCCCATGCTAACTAACTTAAGTCTCTCCTCCCCACCAGGAACTCTCACACAATTGCTTGGAAGATACACAATGTCCAGTGGTGATCCTTCCTTTGTGGTGCAATTCATATAAGTACCTGTTCTCTCTCCACTGCAGTAAATGTACCCACAGAATTTGCTACACATATGCCTGTATGATCCCCTTCCCTCTCACACCAGTTGTTCCTTGTGGAATTCAAATCAATCAATAATCAATCAGTTGCAGTGTCAGAGATTTCATTACACATGATATTATAAAAATGAAAACAATGGCAATAAACATTATTATAATCACGGCAGCTCAAACCTGGAAATTGTTCATCAGCCCATACTGACATGGTTCGTGTTGACATCTTGAGAAGTCATAGCCCAACCCACAGGCTGCTGAACCATTGCAGTTCATCCCCGAAACGATGGTGTCATTCATGTTCCCAGTGGCATCTCGGACCACACAGGCCCCTGGGGAAACAACAGTGGGTTGTCATTTCTCTATATGAAGCGTTCTGCTTCCTTAGGGGTTTCTTCTGAAAACATAATTATTTGTTTTGAGTCTGAGTAGGTCCACTGGCTATCCTGTCTTCATTGCCAATGCTTCCTGGGGCATGGTCGCTGGAGGTTCACATCCTCTGCAGCCTGGGAGCACCCCCTGCGTCGAACAGGCTGCCACTTCCACTGCCTTGGGTGGTTTCAGTCCCAGCTCTCACCCACTTCTGTAAGATCCTTGGGGTTCTGGAATGTCTTACTTTCTGAGCCCTTAAAATGCACATACAGTGCTTTGCACCTAGTACATACTCAATTCAGATTTCTAGCTTAATGCTACTGATTCTGTGTTTTTCAAGTAGGATTTATTGTCTCATCTGTGAGAGAACCAAAGGATGGCATTATTGAATTCAGGTAATTAAGAGAACCAAGCCCTTGCTTTCAACTAATGATATTCCTTACATAATTTTAAAAACAGTTATAGTTTTACTTGACATACCATTTTAATGGTTTAAATAACAAAATATTTTGGGATAAAATATTAAGATTTCTTAAGTAATAGTAATGGTCAAATAATACTCTATCAAATATTTACCTTAGTTTATTCCATTTTTTCATACATGTAGGTGTTTCTGTTATTTTCTATTATAAATATTTTATGAACATCTTTGTGCATACTTTTTTCCTGTATTTCAAAATATTTCTCTACAGTAGATTCCCAGAAATGGAGTTATAAGCTTTTTAAAGATCCTCGATATATATTTTTTAATCACCAACATTCCTTATGTATTTTTCTAATGGCAATCTCTGACATTATGCATTTAATAGGATTATTGAAATATATGAACACAGGTATGAAATATATGCAAACTTTTCTGAACTATCTGAAGGATAAATACTTTAAAAACTAATGCCAACCAATAAAACTGTCCATTTTGCTTTTCAAACTCTAGGCTGGGTGAGTTCTTACTCCTTGCTAAGAACTGTAAGAGAGGTCCCGGTGATAAGTAGGTACTAATGGGAACCTCAATTTTAGCCATGAATTCGCATTCTTTAAATCCAAGAAAGACAAGTATCATAGAATCTTCAAGTTGAAAGGACCACTTAAAATAGTCAGTGCAGGAAATTTTTTTATAGAGCCCTGAGAGGTGGCCTGATAGCTCTGCGTAAACACTTGAAATTATGTTGGTTATCAAGAAGAACAATCCATTCTAGATTTTACTACTTTGCATTGTTCATTTATGTTGAGTTGACTTTTCTAAATCACGTATTTTAACTTCTGTATAATAAAACTCGCCAATTTCCCATGAAGCCAAGCCATGAATCATTATTTACATTAACGACTGGCCACAGACCCCATAACTACCCTTCTCCTATCCTGGGAAAAGCACAGAAGTACAGATTTTTCTACCCATCATCAGCAAAAACTGAAAGAATCTTTGAAATCAGGTCTATCTATAACTTTACTTATTTGTACATTTTCACTTCGTGTGAGAAAGAACACCATTTGGGAAATTTAACTTTAAGTGAATTCAATGATATTTTAAAATGTGTCAATGTACTAAAGCATTGGAATAAAATCTCTTTACATGTAACTAAACCTGGAAATGCCACAATACAATTAACAACATTATCCAATTTCCTCAAATGAGGAGCAGTGAGAGAAACAAGAAGCTAAATGAATTCTTTTGCTTTTTTCTTTAGAAACTAACTCAAGACATATGTACTTTTGCAGTTTGTTTCATAGTAAACAGAGGACAGCTGAGATGTGCCCTTTGGTGAAACTGTCATCCAGGCTTCCGTAGTAGCCCAGGCTGGAGCTGTATCCCCTAGTGTGCAGAGCAAAGAGTTTTCTTCTCTGAATGTTCTACATCCCTTCCTCTCTGATAATCACACAAGCATGAGGTGACCCCCAAGCAGGGAGAGGTGTGGCTGCAGGCAGCAGGTAGGACAACGGTCAGCTTAGGCACAGCAGGCCAATCCACATATTTTGTGCTCAGTGGGTAATATGGGGACTGGTCACCCACACTGCTGACAGCTGGGTCTTGTTCTGATTTCCTGCTGATTGGTGACAGTGACATTTTCATATTAGGGACAGCAGTGCAAGGAGGAGATACAGCCATCAGTTCTGTATCTTTCACACTTTCCTAAGGCTTTTGTTGTTACTGTTTTGTTTGGGGCTCCTTTCCTCTTTAAAAAAAAAATATTTTTATTGACTTTTTTAGAGAGAGAGGAAGGAAGAGGGACAGGGAGAGAGAAACATCAACGCAAGAGCAGAACATCAATCGGCTGCCTCCTGCACACCCTCTACCGGGAATGGAGCCCACGGCCCTGGCATAGGCCCTGGTCGGGAATTGAACTGGCAACCTTTTGGTGCACAGGATGAAGTGCAGCCAACTGAGCCACACCAGCCAGGGCTGGGCTGCTTTTCTCTTTCTCTGTTCCTCAGCTGCCTCCTTAGGGTAAGGGAGGAGGGTGCTTCCCTTGGCAATAGGATTCATATCATCTAGAGATGCAAAATGGGACCCTTTTGTGTTCAGGTGAAATGAGGATCTGATTACCTCCACCCTATCCCTGCCCCAGAGACACCCATGTTACAGTTTCATCGCATTTAAACCACTAGAGCATCTAAACAGAGAATTAAAGTGGTTGCCTTTTTTAAAATGTTCAACTTATGTCCCATTGAAAGCCCACTGGACATGAAAATTCACTGGCTCCCTTGTAAATCTGGCACCCCAACACCAGAGACACCACTCACCTACACAAATAGCAACCCCTATGTAGGCGACGGTGGTGATGAAAATGGCCAGCATGGTTCCTCTGGGGATGGCATCTTGGGGATCCTTTAAAGAAAGAATGTGGAGGGACAAGGAGACAGGGTGGAATAAGAAACAGAGATCACTTGGAGTTATTTCAGTATTTTCAATTTTTTAGGCTACGCTTCCTGAAGCAAGTTCCAAAGAGAAGATCAAGCTAATAGCAAAATGGTGAGCTCAGGTTCTTTCGGGATAAAGACAAAGCGCTTGGAGTGAACTAAGAAATCTGTAGAATTTTGTGCTGAACAGAAGAGATATCTAACTGTCCAGGAGGGAGTTTTTATAGTAAAGTATACTAATTAGTTCACTCGCTAACACCTCTCTTTTTCCTTTATCTCCTGTGAATTTCATGCAGATTTATTAAACATTAGATGATTAGGAGAAATATCCAATCATACCTGGCACAGTGATGATATCTCTGTGTGTGTTTGTTTTGTACTAAGCCTAAGCTTGCCTTTAAAAAAAAAATCCCTTTTGACTGAACAAAGAGGATGATCTGCTAAATTTCCAATCTCTCACATTTCCCCTTTGGAATCCAGTTCAGGAATGACTGCAATGGGGGATATTTAATTTCCAGAAATAGGCATAAAGAAAGAGGCAAATTGAAGCTTATGCCAGAAAATGGGCTTTTCTCTTGCTTATAAACATATATAAATTCACTGAGCTGAACTTACACCATTTACAATATACCATTTTATATCTTGTTTGGGGGACTAAATCATATCACAATCAATTCCAAGCAGCATAACTTCTAAATAATTGAATTCAACTTAACAGGGATTATTAAATAGAGATTCTAATATATTTATTGACTATATAGGACAGTGCCTGGCATATAGTAGGAGTCAATAAATATTGAATTGAGGGAAGCACAGTCTCAGTGGGCATTGGTTCTCCCACCAGAGGACATGAGGCCCATCAATACAAATAAGAAATCAATGCAGTTAAAGTATAAAGCTGTTTTTTGTTTGTTTGGGTTTTTTCAGCTTAAATCTGCTGATCAAATCCATCAGAAAGGTAAACTCATGGTGACTGTAAACTCAACCCAACAGCTGCATAATCAAGCAAATCTATGTCCACATAGGAGTAAGCCATCCCCATGGAGTCACTTTGTGACCATTAATTCCTTCCCACTCTTTCAGGAATATCTCCACACATGGTTTGTCTAATACAGTGATTTTTTTAACCTTTTTCATCTTACGGCACACATAAAATAATTACTAAAATTCTGTGGCACACCAAAATATATATATATTTTTACCCATCTGACACATGCACAAAAAGATATAATTATGATTCATTCACACCTGATGGCTGTTGCTGTGTTGGCTGTTTTCAATTTTTTATTTGACAATCTAAGGACAAAGAGGTCAGTGCCCCTGACTAAATAGTCAGGTATTGCATGTTTTAGAACTTTTTGCAGCACACCGGTTGACAATCCCTGTTCTAATACACACATATGCAGCTCTTCCTTCCAAGCGATTGTCTCCCGAAGTGGAGGTGGCGAGTGTGTGCAACCGAGCAGCACTCGGAAGGAAGAAAAAGACCGTCATGGCTGCAGTGGCCCCACTCATCTCCTAATTCATGCTATATTTCAAAATTAATTTACTGATTAAGGATTTCTTGGGATCTGAGTGAAATGCAAAGAACTGATATAAGTGGGAAGAAAGGAAATATATGTAAGGACAAGAGTTGTAAAGATGGAGGCAGTCCTGTACTTAAAACACAAAAGCTTAGTTTTTATTTAGGACTACCTGCTACAAGCTCTAAAATTACTTATTTAGAACTTACATAAGGGTCGAACTTGGCCCGATATGAATCAGAATGCCAATATCTCACTGTGTGATCACATGTTCACGTTGTCTGGCCTGGCAACATTCCCCGCCCCGCCCCCAGCCTCCTCCCAGGGCTCAGGACTTTGACAAATGCTCAGTTTACACTCTAAATATTAGTTTCCATGCCCCCAGTAGTAAACCCAAACCTACCAATTCTAACTTCCCTTCACCTTTCTTCCCTAAATAGTACAAACGTATTTTAAGACAGAATACTGCCGTTTCAGTAGGTTGCGGCCTTTGGAGGGCGTCTACCGTATCCTAATCTTGCGTCTCTGAAACTGCATCTTAAGCCTCTTGATTGAATTTGAGTATCTCCCAGATCTTCTCCCAGGCTCCCATTTCCCGATTACCAATGAGCATGTTAACAAATAGAAGGTTCAGGAAGGAACTTTGTGCCAACTCTCATTGACTGCCACCTTCAGAAGAATGCTAAGTTGTGAGCAGAGGAAGCATCTTGCAAAATTCTTACAGTGGTGTAAAAAACAAAATGTTTACTAAGTTGAACTGGACCCACTACAGTGTGATTATTCTTAGTTTCACTCTCAGAGAGAAATATGTCCTGAAATGTCCTTGCCGCTCCCCAGCAGGCAGTCGCCTCTCCGGCCTTCGCCTGCTTGCCGCCGTGGCTCTCAGGCCCAGCCGCCCTGGCTCCTGTGTCTTAGGCAGCTGCTTCTCTCCCTCCGCCTGTCCCCACCATCATTCCTGGAGTGTTTGCTTCCCTGGCTGCCGCCCTTGTCCCCACCGCTCCTCGCTTCTGCACAGACCTGGCTGACCTCACGTGCTGTGGCTTCTGGTCCTGCCCTAGCTCCTTCCCAGAGCTCCTGACTCATAAAGCCAGCTACACGCCCGACATCTCCGCTGCTTTTTCTCTCACCTATTACACCATGGAATCAATTCAGTGGGTTGCAACCAGCACGAAACAAATACAGGAGAATAGAACTGATGTGAAAATAATCAGAGGGCATCACTGGTAAAGAACTACTTGAGGAAAATGCCGTGTGTGTACACTTGGTTATGATGTATAATGTTGTTGTGGTTTAATTTTTTTTTTTTTAAATCTTCACCCCAGGGTATTTTTTTCCCATTGCTTTTCAGAGAGATTGGAAGGGAGAGAGAGTGACAAAGACATGGACTAGAGAGGCTCCTAGATTGGCTGCCTTCCGCACATGCCCGGGCCTGTGCCGGGATGGAGTCTGCAACCCAGGAGGTGCCCTGACCGGAATCGAACCTCAGACCCTTCAGTCGTCGGGCTGATGTTCTAACCACTGAGCCAAACTGGGTAGAGCAATGTTTTTGTTTTTTACTGCAAAACATAGTAAAAGAAAACATCCTTTTCATTTCCTCTTCTAACTCTAACAAAAGCTGAGCCTTTGATCTATTTCCCCTGCCATAGCTTTAATTCAAACCCATGTTGTCTCTTGCCCAGACTTCTGTGATATCTTCTAATTGATCTTTTGCCTCCAGTCTCCTTACCTATCATACCTCTCCCTGACACCCCCCAAACACACAAAAATCCATCCTTCACAATCTGCTAGCAGGCTGTCTCTAAAACATATATCTAATCTTGCTTGATCTAACCTCCTTAGTGTCTCTAGCTAGTTTTGGGTTACTATCCAAACTCCACTGTCTGTAGTGTAAAGGACCTCTGAGTTCTATTTAATAGTATAAATGCCGGTATGGGCTGAAAGTTAAGCTTAATTGTAAAATCACCAAAGTATTTTTCAATGGAAAGAAAAAAACTTTTTACAATGATACTATGACTGCTCATGCCCTGAAAATCATGATGGGATATCCTCTGCATTTCCATCACATGTAAAATCAAAATCAGAGATTTTTCAGTACAGATTGATAGATAAGTAAAAATCTTTACTAGTATAGCATTTGTAACTGAAATGAACATTGATCTAGGGAGAAATTATAAGCTTTGCCTATTTAGATAGTGATATTATTCAGTTCACTTACTCTCCGAGTGCCAGGGACACAGAAAAGCTCCTTTATAAATATGTTTAGCGTATTGATGAAAAGATTTTCCTTGCATGCCCCATTCTGCATGTAAAATAATTCCCATCAGCAGCATCTATCTCTGTGCCTTCTTACATTCTACCCCTTCTGTTCCAAATGTCCCTCTCTTCCTTGTTCTATTGATGAGCTCCTACTCCAGCCCTTGAATTCTGGATTGAGTGTCCTTCCTCTGAAAGCCTTCCCTTACTTCTTTAGGAATAGCAACTACTGTTTCTTCTTTACCTTGCACGTGATCAGTTTTTGCTTCTTATGACTCAATTCGATTAAGTCTGTCTCCCCCTTAGACTGTGAGCTCCTGGAGGGAAGGACTGAGTTCTCCTTTGCTTCCCCGGTGCCCAGTGTAAGTAGCCGCTCAGTAAGTGTCGGCTGAGCTGAACTGACTAAGCATCTAATACAAATTGTCTCTAAGGAGTCTGAGAAAAGCATAGTATTCTTTCATTCATATGCATACTTACAGTTTGTAGAAGCTTAAATTAGTGACATCTGAGACTTTTCCAAATCTGAGAAACTGGAAGCTCAACATCCATAGCTAAATTTCATGTAGCAGCCATACTTACTTCTTGAATCATTTCCAACAACTTACTTTATTTTTCCGAGCCTCAGCCTAATCTTTTTTAATGCCGTATCTCTGCTCAAGAATTTACCGTGGCACCAAGGTCCTTAATATAACAAATCCTAAAACCTTTATTCATTCACTTAATAAATATTTATTAAAGCTTTACTAGCTCCGAAGATGCAGCAATGAGCAAAACCAAAGGCAAAGATTCCACTTTCACAGGGTTATGCTCTAGGCCCAGCACCTCTCGCTTATGTCCCTCCAAGAGCTGTTCTCCTTACAGTATAAGGTTATCCAGCCTCATGAGAGCTTCTCCAGTCAAACTGTGAGAGACCCTCACTGTTCCAGGTTTTCCCTTGCCTGACTGTTCTTTTGTCTTTGCCTGAAGTACATTTTCTCAGTAATAGTCAGTACCTAGCCATTACTTTCAGTTCACACCCAAATGTTACTGCCGTGAGGAAATCATCCTTAACTTGATAATTATTTCTTCATTATTGTTATCTTGCAATCCATTTGGCAGTGCATACGGTTTTCATTTATACATCTCTTGATGGCTCATGCAAATGTTTCTTGTCTTCCAAAGTAGATTATAAATTTATTGAGGTAAAAATCTGTATCTTCTACTTTGGGTGTGCCTGGTAGATACTGTTTATTGTCTCCTAATATTTTTTCTCTTAATATTTCTTTCTTAATATTTCTTTCTTTTAATATTAGAACCTTCAAAAATTTTATCTGGACACATGGCAGCCCAGCTAGAGACTGCATTTCCCAGCCTTCTTTACAACTAGGCAAGGCCTCTGGCTAAATGCTGGCCAATGCAACGTCAGCAGAAGCGACCCACTGAAGGTCCAGGGGTTGCTTCTCCTCTATTTCCTTATTCCCCTTCCCACGGACTGGAGTGCGATTGTGAAAATGACCAGTCACCTTTGACCTTGCAGATGAGGCAGTCCCCAAGGGAATGGGTACAACAAGGGAGGTCATCTGGGTTCCCGGGCTACCTTTCGGAGCAGATCTTTCTTACTCCACTGGGTGGCTATGAGCTCAAATTTTTGTTCACTAGAAAAATTTCTATCCTGTTTAGGTCAAAATTACTGTAGGTTTTTTGGTTTGTTTTTGTTTTTTAACAAAACATTCAAAGGAATATCCTAACTAATACAATGCTCCCTACAGTACTTAACATAGAATAATATGAGTGTTCAATAAATACCAATTAAACGAGTGAATGTATCCTGACTATAATATCGGCATTCAGCAATAATTTGTCTTTGGTTTAGGTTTTTTTCTTAAATGTTCTTACACATTATGTGTTTAAAAGAGAAAGTGGTGGTTCTGATATTTTTTTCACTGAAGTGTATTTATTTTGTTGGAAATGTGACACACGGTCATACTCTGTCCTTCTAATATCACCAATTAAGATTTTTGGAAGGACTATCAGGAATAGGATAGTTTGGCACTTAAAGAAAATTTTTAAATAATCAGGAAACCTTTCAGAAATTTTATGGTTTGAAAGCTGTAGAGAAACATGGTCACTGTTGACCTCTATAGCTCCCTGTGCTGCCTGCCAGCTGCACCACCACCTCCCAGGGCTACAAGAACAGAGGAAACCACATACCTCCAAGTCCCCCGAGATATTGGCACCTGCAAGAATCCCGGTGGCTGCGGGGAAGAAAATGGCAAAGACGGAGAAGAAGCCTTCGCCTTTTGTGAAGCTTGGCCCAAAGTTTTCTGCAAATATTGATGCTGCAACACAAATAATGAGAAAATTATCATGTAGACATTCTTTACAGAGTAGGAGATAAAGTTACCTTTGGTTTCTAGAGCCCTAAATGCTAATGGGTTCCTATAATTTAAACATAATGAGCTCAAAGATGTTGGTGTCCTTCTGATGAACCTCATGGTAATATTTGTCAAAGGTCAAAATGCATATCACAAGGGTTCAGCTCTCTAAAACAGAAACCTGAAAAATCAATAAATTTTGTGCAGGTGGAGACCCAGGCCACCTGATTTCTTTGAATCTAGAAGACTGAACAATGAGGAAAGGGAGAATTCTTTCATGGTCATACGGGCACACTCACAAATGTACCACACATACACACTGTTCTGTATATGTACAACTACATTCTCACATGCATAAAAATCTTAACACACTGCTTTCCTATGCCTTTTTTTAAAAAATTGAAGAACCTCGTGTCTGAGCCTACCTTACAATTTTGCTATTAATATTCTGACCTACTCGCCCTTTGCTGAGATTGAATTTTAAATCCTTATGCCAAATTCTTATATATGGGAGGATAATATCATGAGGAGCTTAGATTATAAAATAATATTATCCCCTAGGTTGTCACCAAGTTACTTAAATGAAAAGAAAATGATCTAGAAGAAAAACAGAAAGGGAAGGGAAGGAAGACAAGGAAGAAAAATATGGAAACAAGAATCTGGAATAGTGTAAAAATAAGAAAGAAAATTTATAGCAGCAGGAGCTGGAAGGAGGGAAAATAATAAAGAGGAAAAAGATGTGAACGTGCAAAGCAGAGAAGACAATCCTTACAAAGAAAAAGAGTCAGAAGGAAAGCAATGAGGTGATATAAGAAGGAAATGAATACTGACTACTGAGTGAATGAAGGGAAATATTTTTAAAATCTCAGCAGTGTATTCTCGAGGAAGCTAGAGTGGAAAGTTAGGAAAGAGTGGGTCAGTGGAGGAAAATGAGGGAGGGAAGTCAAAGTCCATGCTCATTGGCATTGTCACAGGACTCTCTCCTAACTCCCACAGCCTTTTATGCTTAAAACCCTGACACTGATGCTTAACTAGGTAATGCTATTAATAAGCAAGGTGCAGAAAAGTCTAGCAGGGGAAAAATGACTGTGTTTGACTTCAGTGCTCTCTGTGGTTGAACCAATGGCCTGAGCTTTCTTCTTCCTTACATGTGCACTTTGTTTCTACTCTTTCAACAGCAGCAAATTGTCCAGCACTTTAAGGTTTTCAAAATGCTTTTACATCCACCATCCCATTTGCTTTTTAAAAATCCCCTCAGGAAGTTATTATTTTCACTCACACCTTACCAGAAAAGTCTGAGACACAAACATGTTAGGGGAGCCGTCAGGCTGCTAAGCAGCAGGGTTGAGACTCAGGCTGTCTCTCCTGAATCCAACCTCAGCCTCTGCCCTGGATCACCCTGGGATTCCAAGGCTGGAGTGGGGGTCACAGGGATGGTGATGGAGGCGAGCAATGGAGAGCCATTTATTGCAAAGCAACTCATTTGTCACACGTACCTTGGTAGTTAAAGAAACCTCTGGACTTCTTCTCATTGTTGGATGGAATGACGGTTCCAATGAAGAAGTTTGCAATAGCAATGAGAAGAATGATCAGAAGAATCACTTGAGCCTGGAATGGCAAAGCAAAAGGAGGCCAAATCAGATTTATTTAGCAACTTTGCACATAATCATGAAAGCTAGCTGTCCACTAAAGAAAGACTCTGTCTGATTGTTCCAGTTAAGACTCTACTACTCAGATTAGGTAATAAGTGGATCCCTATAGAATGACATCTTAATAAGCCCTATTTGACCTCAGTATAAATATTACATTTTCAATGGGAATGTGTGCTTGGGCACTTCAAGGTGACATTACAAGGTCATTCTAAGTATTAGGTAGGTAACTTACTGCAGGGTCCTCAGGAATATAAGTGGAGCCCAGAGTTGTTACACTGATAAGGTTTATTTCCTTTTTAGCAGAGCACTGTGGACTCCTCCCATTCCCATTGCTAACTGCAGGAGTATGAGAACACAGAGTGACTTATAGAATTCCCCTGACAATTAGTACGTTTGATGTTGGGCTGCCAATGTGTTCCCAGCACAAACATCCGCAAGGTTGACGGGCCAAATTGTCTTTTTTTAGTTTCCCATTCATTTCAAGGTGTTTATTGGCTGGGCATTTCCATATGCTGTTCCATCTGCTAAGAAGGCACTTCTCCTCTTTGCAGAGCTGTTTCCTTCCTCTCATCCTTCAAGCCTTAGTTACCCTCTCAGACAGGCCTTTCGTGACCACTGAATCTACATTAATAACAGCTAACGTTCACCAAGGGCTTACAATATAGCAGCTGCAAATTTAACTTTACCAGTGTTCTTTCAAACAACTAATACCACCAATAACCATATGAAGTAGGTAATATTATCATCATTTAGAGATAAAGAAACTGGTGCATAAAGATAAGTTAAGCAATTAACTAAAGGTCATATGGATGTAAACTAGATTTGAATCCAGGCATTTTGATAGCAGAGCTTTAAATTCTACCCTCTACTGCCGTGAAACTGCATTGCCGTCCTCAGGGAATAAAGCCATTGAAAGTAGATTCCCTGTTATTTTCTGTCTCAGTGCCCTGTTTATTGCCTTCATAGTACTTTTACAATTTACCGTTTTATATGTACTGGTTATCTCCTGATTATTACTCATATACTCATAGGCCATGTACTCAACCAGGGTAGGAATTGTGCTTGTTATATTCATAACCAAGTAGCCAGTGCCTAGCAAACGCCCAGCACATGTAAGCACTTAATCAACTTCAGTTCAATGTGTGAATGCATAGCCCATAAATAAGTGCCACGTGGGAATGTTTCCTATTGCTTTATAAGAGGAAGGCTTTGGCCATCTTTCCATTGTCAGCCAGCGCGAGAAGTCCAGTTACTGCATCTTCAGGTACATAAGTTCAGTTTCAATTATACCAGCCACTGTAGGGAGTTATGAAGCATGCAAAAAACATGCTCTCCACCATTTAGAAATTTAATAACTGTTTTACTACTATTTAAATCCAGGTGTTCTCTAGTTCCAAGGCCCATGCTGCCCTCTGATTTGCTACTGAAGTACTGGATCTCAGAGAATGATAGTTTCTGCCTCTATTACCTTCTCCCAACATGCTTGCCATTTCTTTTGGGTTTCAGCACCCGCAGCCACCCTGAAAAGGGTTACCAGGGGTGTGATGAAGAGACACAGGCTGCCAGCGTGTACCGTTGCTATGATCGTCAAGGGATCTGTGCATGAAAGTGGCACCAGCCTTGGTGGCTGTGTCTCTGTGATGATACATAAAGTAGGACGGAGCACAGGCCTGATCACGTCACACAGGAGCTGTGTGAGTCATGACCACCCTGGACCTCGTGCTTCGAGGGGGTGGTGTTCCACCTAGCGCTAACCTGCCACTTTTCCATAGCAAGTAATAACAGCAATTCTTTTTAAATATGGGGTTCCTTCTATCCTGCAATTTGTTCTGGGCCCGGCCAGCAGCTGTTGATAACCTCATTTTGCAAAATTCACCTTTGCTTCCCATTCCATTCCAGCTACTGAAATTCCTAAGAGAATCACCACTGTGATGGAGCCTATTATCCGGATATCATTGGTTGGATCCACCATCATTGAATCACTCTCCTGGAAAAAAAAATATCACAAAAATGGTTAGAGATGGAGCTTTTATTTTTTTCCTTGTATATTTTATTGTATCATTTAACAGTAAGATGAGATACTATATACTAACAGCTGGGGCCATGTAGGGTAATAGAAAAATGCAGGGCTCATGAATGTGAGAAGATAAAGAACCTCACATTGATAGCCAAAGTTAGGAGTTGGAGATCTTAGAGATTCATTCTAGCCACAGCTGTAGAAGCTATTATGGCACTAAGTAAAACTGTGTGTACATACACATAGCCTGTTTTGTTTCAGAAGAATGACTAGTTATTTTTGTGTGTCAGGGAAATCCTAGAGGAATGAAAATGAGTGTTTTCCAATGTGAATATTGGAACATAAGTGTTATTCAATTAAAGAACAAACTACACAAAGCAGATAATGCATGACTCGAAGAGCGCGCACTGGTGAACTGTATAACCCACTCACTTATTCATCTAATTTTTAAATAGAGTTACTGTTACCAATTAAATTCAGTGAATGCTATCACCACTACAAAAAGAGGGCTAGAAGTTAAAGTCATATACCAGCTAATTCACGTACACACATATATGCCATCTAGATGGGGCACCTACACTAGGAAATGCCTGGTTTTCTGCCGTGTTATTCTGTCTGGACTTTCTTCCTGTTTGGAAATCTATAGTCAATATAGCAGTGCCCCCCCTCCACCTGTGGTTTCGCTCTCTGTGGTTTCAGTTACCCACTGTCAACCATGGTCCAAAATTATTACATGGAAAAATCCAGAAATAAACAGTTCATAAGCTTTAAATGAGGTGCCGTTCTGAACAATGTGATGCAGTCCTGTGCTCTCCTGCTCTGTCCCACCCACGATGTGAACCATCCCTTCGTCCAGTGTGTCTATGCTACCTGCCTGCCTGTTAGTCACTCAGGAGTCTTCTATCGGACCAAGTATCATGATATCTTGGTGTGTGTGTTCAAGAAACATTGTTTTACTTAATGGTTTCAAAGTGCAAGAGTGGTGATGCTGGAAATTCAGACATGCCAAAGGGAAATCTTAGTGCTTCTTTTACGTGGAAAGGTGAGCACAGTACAGTAAGGTATTTTGAGAGAGGTCACATTCACTTAACTTTTATTATAGCATATTCTTATAATTTTCTATTTTATTGAGTTATTGTGGTTAATCTCTTGCAGTGCTTAATTTATAAATTAAACTTTATCATAGATGTGTGTAGGAAAAACAGTATATATAAGGTTCAGTATTATCCATAGTTTCCGGCATCCGCTGGAGGGTTTAGAACATACCCTCAGAGAACAGAGTGGGACTACTATATTGCTGCTGATAATAATACTTGATATTTACTTGATGGTTTGTATTTTATGCAGTATTTCATGTACATTATTTCATTTTATCTGTACCACATTTCTATGAAATGCATAGGGCAATATTAGCCCATATGAAAGAGTTAGAAAACAAAGTTCAGATAAATAGAGGAACTGGTCCCAAATCTCTCAGCTGGTAAATGTGAGAGCCAGGATTCTAAGCCAGTTCTGATGTCAAGCCTTGGGCTCCTTCAATTATATCCAACTTTCACATTCTGCAGAATAAACTCTATTTCCTCTCATCTTGCCATAATAATATGCCCTAGTGCCCTGAAAAAATGAATTGAGCCAAATTATCTTACTTGGCTGAAAAAAAAGAAAAGCTTTTACTTACCTTAAGAAGGTCTACCACAGTCTCAGCAAATCCCACCACATACATAGCAACAGCCACTGCATTGGCAAAAGCAAAGATCAAGCCTATAGATCCACCAAACTCTGGCCCCAAGCTTCTGGAGATAAGATAGTAGGCCCCACCTGCAACAGAAATGAATATGTTTTACATTGAGGAACCACTAATTTTGAACATCTGAGAACACTTGAAATATTAATTATTCTAATAAAAATATTATAATTTCCTAATAATTTTAGGAATCTTGTGTCACCTTAATGAACAGCTTAACCCTTCCTTGCACTCTGTATATTATCTACAATAGGACTATCCTGACTTAATAAAACCCAATTTATTGAAACCGAATTATACACAAATGTTACAAATAAGAATACAGCAAACTTTACTAAAAACCCTTTGTCTTTTGTAAAAATCCATTGGAAAGTTCAAATCAATAATGTAACTGAAGTAAAATTTTAGATCTGAAACTTCCAAGAACAGGCAGGGCTAGGCAGAGAATGAACTGGGTGAAGTTTATTACTGTTATTCTAACTTCCTTTCTGTTATAATTTTCTAGTACATATTTGCCGGGTAAAAAAGGTATCTGTAGAGTGCTGTGTTTTATCCACTCTATAAATCAGACTTGCGTTTTTTGAATGTTTCTAGGTCAAGAAGGCATGATTATTGCCAAATACCTATGTGTATATGGAGGTGACAGATGGGAAGAAAGACTGGGAGAGTTTGGAACAATTGCTTCTCCCTCGGACCTTGGAAAGGTAGCTCTAAGTATGGCTGGGCACCTCTGTGCACATGAAAGACAGAGCTGCGCTGGTTAACTGCTCAACTGAGAGCACGTCAGTGAAGGTAAAAGTGACTACATATTGAGAGGCCTGGACAACTAGATGTTATCACAGGCCATAGTAAATTAATAACTTCCTATACCAAGCTAGTCTTAGAGGTGGGCAAAATTGATAGGGAAATGACAATAAACAAAGTATCTAAAACCAAAACAAAACAGTCTTTTACTGAAAAGGAATTTCCTCTACTATGGTAACTCCTATGGGTTAGGGGTCAAAGTCGTCTCTGAAAATGTAACCTATTATCTAAGTGGGGCAAATCCCCCTTATTTCCTTTGTCTGGATTACATTAAATAAATCGGCTAGCCAGTTACTAAGGCTTGGTCAAAATGAGAGCCAGGCAGAAATTGTGAGAGGAAGTGTGTTGTGGGTAGGATGGTAAATTAGAAGTTTGGGTGGGGAGACCTGGGTGAGATACCCAAGTAGAAACCCTGAGGAGCCAAAGCAGAATTGGGAGGGAAAGCAAGAAAGGTAGGACGTTGGTAAACTTTAGCCTCTTCATTTTCTGCTTAAGCTTGCCCATTCCTGGATAATTTGAAAGAAACTCTTTGTTTCATTTGTTTTCTTTTCTTTTTAAAGTTCTTCTCATGGCTGCTGGCCACTGGAAACATAGTGTTGGGGTGAACTTTGAGGCTTAGTGAGTAGGAAGATTCAGCAGTGACAGCTGGGGCCCTGGAGAAGACCTACACTGAGGGGCCCTGGGGGAGAGCGAGCAGGGCTCGTCCAAGGCGCCAAGCAATGCCTTCTTTCTAGACACCTGCTCACTCTCTACTTTATAAACATGTCTGATAGCGGGAAATGGGGTGCGGAAGTCTTTTCTGGAGAAGAATTTTGCCTTATTCCTTAAATTTTGGGTTATTTTGTTTTATTTTAAGGCTTTGGAGACTATCAATATACAATTTTTACTTCCAACATTAAACCAACTCTGGACACTACTACATAACCAAGTTTGCAGTCGTAAGTAAATGAATTGGCTTACCTCCTCTTACTACTCCATTTGTGCAAATGGCAGACATAGAAATACCTGTGAGTGTTGTCACTACCACACTCAGGCCAATGATGATGACTCCAAGACCTGCAAAAGCCCCCCAAAAAAGTGTTGGCTCCAGTACTTCAAGAAGTCCCCGTACTTCTTCAGCAGGCAGCAGTCTGACTCTTGTCACAGAAGATCAGCCTCCCCATGAAAAGCCTGAAATGTTCTAAAGGATCCCGTTCCACGAAGGTCTAGGAAACACCTGAAATGTACTAAACTTTAAAATTGAAGCCATGTCCAGGAATGATTTTCCACGAAACACCAGCAAGAGGAGTGTAGACTAGCCTGAAAAATAAAGCATTTACCCAAGGAATCTGAGCATCTGGAAACTGTGACCTGCAATCTGCCAGAGAGTCCATTAGAAGAGAGACCACAGCTGACTAGAGTGGACTGGGACTTTACTTACAGTACCTTAATGTTTCTTCGGCAACCAGCTCATCCAAAGGGTTAACCAAGTTTCAAGAACACTGGGCTACTTTCTTGTTCCCATCAAAAAAATGTATATAAAAAGTTTTGCCTACCCGTAGCAAGTGATGAGAGCATTAGATATCTTAGAAATTTTACCTCCACGCACAAACCCGTTAGTTGCTATTGCAGAAGTTGACAACCCAGTAATAGAAGTTACCATGGTGGAAAGAAGAATTATGAGAACTCCAAGACCTGTCAGCAATGAAAGATAAAAGATATTACATTTACTTCTCCTCCTTGGATTCCCTATTGCCACAACTATACTGCCTTTCGTTTAGGTTTTCATGTCCAAGCCTTGGACCCCAACGGAGTTCCTTTGTGCTAAAGAGAAACCGGTTTGCCTGCCATAAAGATCAAGTTGGAGAACTGCTCATTATGATGAAGGATGGTTTCCAAAAGTAAACACAATCTAAACTGCAGCCCTGAAAAGGAAACGTTGACTTATGCTGGTGTCCTGGGAGAGAAACTACCCTGGCTGTGAAAAGAGAAAACATGGCATTTGACCTTCTCTCTTGCTCGAGAGGAACCTGAATGAGAAAGCTGAGAGGTTGACAAAGGTTAAATCCTTCCCCATTCTTCTTGCATCTCTCTTGCCTCGGGGGGTGGGGGGAGGAACCAACTTGGATTACCTTCAAAAACACTCCAGAAAGGTCACTGGTGAACTATTTGAGCCTGTGTTGCCTTTACCTTACAAATGATCGTGTGGGTCACAAGTTTAATTACCTCCTCTGACATATCCATTTGTGGCAATAGCAGAGGTGGATAAACCAGTGATAGCAGTCACTGTCACAGCTAAGCAGATGATAATCACACCAAGACCTCAGTTGGGAGAGGAAAAATAAAGGCAATTAATTGGTGGAACAACCCATTAGATCGTTTGCATAAAAGCCCACAAGTCTAGGGTAATCACCAAAGGACCACACTGGAGTTAACAAGTTGACCTAAAAATCACCACAGAGTAAGTGCTCAGCTTTAAAGTTTGCTGCCTATAGGAAGTAGCACAGATTCTACAAACTCAAGAGCTAAGATGTGGAGTGTTAAGTTGCACGCAACAGAAGCACTATGGCTGATCAAAATTTAACGGGAACCCCATTGATGATGGTGAAGTCCTAAAGACACCTATGCATATAATAATTGGTCTACACAATGCTAAGCTATTAATATAGCTAAAGAGTAAATGTTTATCTTTCTAGGTAACTATCTTTTTATGTACATTTGGTTGTGTACTAGTTGAAAATTACTACATTCTAGCAAGTCATTCCTCTGGCACAGAAGTAATGTGGAAAGAATCACATTGAACTACTTTCACTCACTGGCTATGTGATCTCTTGCAAGTTACTTATTTTCGGAGCCAAATGGCAGTGAAATGAAAAAGAATACATGGGTGAAGTGGCTAGCATCGTGCGGAGGACACAGTGCTGTAAGTGGCACTGCTTTGTGATTAGATCCACATTAGTCATAATAACTGTTGTTTATTAAAAGCCTACTCTATATCCAGCTATGTGTTAGGTAACATGAGAAATGCAAGGAACAAATAAAATGAAATGAAGAAAGCAGCCCTCAGTAATCTTATGGTACAGAGGTCAATGAATATGAGACAAAGAGAGTGGTGCCCCAGGAAGGCAAGGGTGCCCCAGGCTAAGGATTATTTTGAGATAAAGGCAATTGAGAAGAAGCAGATGCTTCCCTCTATTTGCCTAAATTTGTGAAGGCACCAGAGACAACTCTAGACCCTTGTCAGCTGGAATTGGCACCAGAGGAACATAACAAACTTAACCTGTATCCCATTAGTTTCCCCATATATTTGCCTTCCCACACTGGCCACCCTAGAAACTCCTTTTCCTTTCCCTTGTCACTTCTCTAAAAATGTATCATTCTCTTGGGAAGGTGCTGTACAAGCCCAAGTTCTAACCACCCCTTCGAGTTTCTCATTGCTGAGTCTTCACCTGTGTATTCTCACTGCACATGTTAATAACCTCCCGATTGCTTTTCTCTTGTGAATCTTTTTGTCCGTCTAACTTGCAGCGCTCCAGCCGATGAGCCTAATACGGGTGGAGGGAAAACAGTTTTTCCTCCACTACAATATCCCCCTCAATGAAGGGAGACACAGAATTCAGGGAGAAGTTGTGGGGTCCCAGGCACTGAAATCACCCTGGCTCCAGCCAGGATGCTTTTGCCTGGACTGTTTTGTACTGTCCCCGACATAAAATAGATGCTCCATAATTGCTGGCAGGCTCTCTCGCTCCGAGGATGATTAGAAGGGTCATCAGCCAAGAGAGGCTGTGATCTCTCTGGACATTGCCTGGGAGAAACGGAAGGCTGGGGAGATTAAAGACGGATAGGACAGATATGGGAACGAGGGACAGGAGGCTGGCTCTTTTGATGCTCTCAGCTAGATCCTGGCTCTGGCAGAATCTCTGGGCGATTCTACAGGTTAAAGTGCGGTAGGAAGAGGCTAACTGTGGGCCCAGCCTGCAAACGTGGGCCATTATTGCTTTGGCCCCTGTACACTCTTAAAAGTTTGGTGTTGTAAGAAAGAGTTGCACTAAATTTTCCATATCTATTGTGGGATCCTGGGGAAAACATCACCTCTTCGTCACTAGGTGGACTCAGCCCTTTGTACCTCTGAAGGTGATTTCTTTCCATCTTTTGCAGATCATTTCGCTCTTGACTTTGTTTTGAATATGTGTGATGTCAAATGTGCAGCTCACTTCAGCAACTGTATAGAACCATATAGTTTGCATTTGGGGCATTAAAACGACTCTGATTTTACTCTTTCTTTATCCTAATTTTCCCCTTGCCTCTATTTCTCCAACAATTCTTAATTTATCCTTTGGCATTGCATACATTTTGTGTAAATCATGAAACAGATTTTATACATTTAAACAGAGAAGGATTTGCTTCTCTCTCACAAACATGAGATCCCAGGGTACAAGGCAGGTTAGAAACATTCGGTTCACAGTATTCTCAAAGTACAGCCCTTTAATCACCTGCTCCAGGAAATGCCTGCGGTGCTTATTAAAAATGCCCAGACCTACTGAGTTTAGATCTTTCAAGGTGAATCCCTGGATTCTGCAGTTTTATAACTTAACTTCCCACGTAATTCTCATTCACCTCACAGCCTGAAAAGGACTGCACTACCCTCAGCCTGTCTCAATTTGTGTCTGTCTGTTCAGCAAGGTTCTTAGCATTTATCTTCAAATAATTGATTGGGAAACAATTAATCCAGCTCCCTAACTTTTAGATGAGAAAATGACACTGACAGAGTATAAATGACTTGCTTCAGGTCATACCTGCTTTTCACACTCTTCTTTCCAGCCTGATGGTTAAGTTTATGGGAAACCATCAGGCCCCAGCCAAAGTGAGCAAGGCAGAGAACAAGTAGACAGCATTTCTGGCTCACTCTACCATTTTCTTTTGATGACAAGACAGCCAAAACTCATGACCCCAGAATGGCTACCTAAGGGCTTCAGTCACTGTTACTCCTGGCTCCAACTTCCTTCTGGCTTTGTTCCCAGGGCCTGGGCTTAGTGTATTCAGGTTTCTTCTCCAAACGATCCCCAAAGCAAAAAAGAACTACTTGTACAGGTATTGTTTCTTTTCTTCCCCAATAAAGGGAACTCAGATGGGACCCAGGTGGCGACTTAATGAACTCATTTAACTGTAAGTTTAGAGCAAAGGTCGGTAAAACTGAGTAAGGGCGGTGATAAGTTTCTACTACTCACTAACGTCTATTTTCTGAGAATTAAAAGAAAAAAACGAACACCTCCATTCCAAGGAAAGGGTAGTGCAAAACTTACTTATCACCCATTTAGGTAGAACTCTATCTCTTCTAAAGCAGGATTGAACGACTTAAGTAAAAGGCCTTTATTAAAACAACACTGATGTCTGAAAGTATATTAAACAGTTTAGCAGAAGATAGGATTCTTCATATTTGACAGTTTCGCAATAAACATGAAACAGGACTGACTATGAAGAGTAATGTAAGCACTGATTAAAGTTCAGATTATTGCCCAAACATATGGATGTTAAATAAGTTGCATTAAAAAAAAATTGCTTTTGCCCTTGGCTATGCTCACACCTCCAAACAAAGTAATGTTTCTTGATGATCTCAATAAGTTACTAAACTGCCCTTAAAAACCTAATTTTGCATGAAGCCCTGGAGCAACAACTTGGCAATATTAAGATGCAGATTTTCCATGGAACAGCATATACTTATTTGGGACCCTGCGGCTGTAAGCACTCATTTGACATGCATCATAAAGCCAGCAAGCAGCCCTTTGTCAGGAACCCAGCAACTGCCAAACATGAAACATGGAAAAACTATGGGAACTGGTTCCAATTTTTCAATGTACAACCCAGCCCTTTCTTTTTCCATCTTCTGATGATTCTCAATATGTTTTGAGGAGCGAAAGCAATAAATTATGACCAAGTACCTTTTGAATGCAAACTGAGATACATTCTGGAACAATATGTGAAAGCACATCCGAACCTCTATGTTCTTGATCCTAATGATTTATAAGTCTTCCCCGAGAGTGAATCCATAATGCATTTTCCATACATAGAGTAGAACACCATTAATTTTTATCACATTGAATCAGGAACTTTGATAAAATTCAAATAAATTTTTCATATAAATTTTATTAATACACCCTCAATAAAAAAGATTTGCCACAGGAAATACTACTTTAAACGGATTATAATATGTAAAAACATTGAATAATCACTCATAATAATTTCAACATCATCCACTTTCCATTTAGAAAAATTAGCAGGTGTTCTGGGCATAATATCAGTCATTTGATCTCACTTTAAGCTCCTATCTGGCAATACTTTATTCACCTTGCTGTTCTTACTGCTGATACCTGAAAGTAACACAATTATTTTCTTTGGAAAATGTTCAACAGTTCAGAGTTTTTATTAGTCAGGTCACATTTTCACTTGTTTTCCACAAGTTATTTTTACTTAGTGAAGTTTTGCCAATAATCATAAGGGGGATACTCTGATGAATGTCAGTATGTCACAAATACGAATACTATTATTTAAAATTAATGTGTATCTATATACCTGTACACCTAAAACTCCATGAAAATATAGAAATATTTTCTTGAGCATTTATCTGGTTGGCAAGCTGGAAAATTCCAGTCTCCTGGGAGTTAATGCTTCACCTTTCCTCTCTGACAAACATGTCTAAGAGGCAAAGTAAAAGAGCCCAAATGCTCTTCTGTGACCTTCATCTCACATTCAGCATTAATGGTGAAACAAATTGCTTCTTGAGCTGATAATAGACATCAAAAATTATATAGGAGCAGAAAAAGATGCTTACCGATTCCAGCTTCTCCAACAATCCAGGAGAGGCGAATGAAGAGCATGACACCCCAGATATTCAACATGCATCTTACCTGCAGATTCAAGGAACATTGAAAGGGACATGAGAAGTGGCAGTGGGGCAAAGCCAGGTCTCTGTAACTCTGCTGCTCAAGCCTTGTGAACAGTCTACTAGAACATCGAATGGATAATCTTCATTTGTAAACATAGGAGCTTTCTCACCAGCACACCTTTCACCCATCCGAACTTCACAGCACCAGAATTCTCTTCTTCTTTGTTCTCAGCTTGTTCATCTCCGGGCATCCCGTCACCGTTAGCGACCCTGTCGGCTGAGCCTGGGGCCACGGCCACATTCTGCATTTTTACCAAGAGCAAAAACACGGCATGTGGTCAACAAACACGGCTCCATCAGAATTTCAGAGCAAATCAAAACAATGGACATAAACGCTTAGACAAAAGAAATTTACACATTTTAACAAGATAATTAGTTTTTGTTCTGGGAAGCTGAGTGATTTTAGGCAGCAAGACTACAGCTGTGGTGAGGGAACCTGGGCAGTTCTACTGTCGAGAATAGTACCTTAGGGAAAAATGACCAGATTTGGATTTGTCTGGAATATAAAAGGAACAAAAGAGAGAAGGGATGCAGTAAAGGGAGGAAGTCTATGGAGAGAGTGAGGGTCTTTGAGAAGGCTTGGTAAGAGCGCCTGAAAGTTAACCTTCCTTACTAATCCATAGTACTGGGCCTTCCCTTCCGTTATCCTCTCTGGGCTTCATTTTATTCATCTAAAAAAATGACAATAAAACTTCTCTACTCACATCAGAGTATCTTTAAGAGGATTCAATGAAATAACACAGATTTTTTTTTTTTTAAGGAAAGGTTTAAAGGCACCTTATAACTACAAGAATGTTATTCCTGTAGGAAAACTTTCTTTTAGATGTGATATGCCTTTGCCTCAGAACTGTTGGCTGTGCTACTGGTATTGTACAGAAGGAGAGAAATCTCATGATCAGAAGGATAGGCTGAGTAGAAATAAGAAGTAAGTAGTATAAAAAAGTCAAAACCACCCAACCGGCATGGCTCATTGGTTGAGCATCTACCTAGGACCCAGGGGATCGCCATTCGATTCCCGGTCAGGGCACATGCCTGGGTTTCGGGCTTGATCCCCAGGGAGGGGCGTGCAGGAGGCAGCCGATCAATGACTCTCATCATTGATGTTTCAACTCTCTCCCTCTCCCTTCCTCTCTCTGAAATCAATATATACATTTTAAAAAGGTCAACATCTTGATTTATTTATTTATTTATTTTTCTGTGGCTTAATTTTGAGAAAGACCTTCCTGGTCTATAGGAAGTCTCTGAATTCAGTGGGGGAAGAAATAGCTCTGTTTCTCTCAAGAACAACCCCTTAATTTCTCTTTTAGGTATGACTTTTATTAACTTCAGGAGCATCCACTTAATTTAGCCTACCCGGCACCTACCTGACTCTTTGGTGGTTAGACCACACCCAGCATGCTTCCCCAAAGCAATCTTCCCCAGCAAAGGTCTGGAGTCCATTAGGGAAGTCTTTTCATTCAGCACTTAATTACCATTATCAAAGAACAGCTTTAGTTTGTTTAAATATTTTAAATTGATTTAAGCCTAGAATGATGTGTTCTGACATTACTAGCTAAGAGGTCTTGGACAAGGGCATTTTCCCTTCTAAAATGGAACTGGTATGAAATAAATATTCAGTATTAATGATAAGAACCTTATTTGGAGATGATCGAAGTTCTCGCCCTTGCTATGCCCAAGGATTCTTGCTGCTTTGGGCTTCTATATACCATTAGCCTTCTCACCGTAAACTGGCCCTAATTTGGGCTGTTTACTCAAATTGACTTTGACTTCTTGTCTCCTTCCTCCAGAATATTTTTGTACTTCTCCCTGTAAGTAAGGATTTCTCCCAACTTTGTTCTCACTTGAGACTTTTTTTCATGATTCTAACGTGACACTTGGGTAGCCAACGTAACACAATGCAATGAGAGTCATTGTATATCAAGTGACTGAAGGAATCTGGTGGCGTGGGTTACTTCTCCTCAGCGCCCACCGAGAGCCTCACACATAAGGCCATCGATAAACAGTACTGAATCCATAAAGTGGGCTTGAAGGCCACCTGACACCTATCACTTAGGAATAGATAACAGTTTCTTATTCATTCTTGCTTCCTATTTTTTTCTTTCTTCCCTATTGGGTATTCCATTTCTCACTGTTTCCTTTGTGCAGGCCACATTTAAAAAGGGAAAGGAAAGGAATAAATCCCAAAATGGATTATTTTATTGTCTTAAGACAGCATGGGTGGGGGGGAATTGAATGACAAAGGACACAAATTAACAGTTAAAGTTTAGTTATGAATTACCTGAGGTATATTTTAATCTTAAGCATCCTTAAGTCTCTGTTTGCACAGATAATTGAATGCTGACAGCATTTGTTTATATCAATGTAAGATGATGGATAAACTAAGTCCATGGAACTGGAGGCTGAACTAGAAGAGCAGAACCCTGTGCTCTATACCAGCCACAAATGTATGTACGCGATTCACAATTTTTCAGTAGCTAGTTTTAAAAAGGTAAAAAGAAATTAGTAAAATAACATGGGTTCAGGTGTGAACCCTTAAATTTTAAAAATATATTTAATTTCTGTAGAATATCATATTTCTAATATTTGCAAGGCAAATATTCATTAACAGTTGTGGCACCCACCTGGTAGGAGGAACCTGAATCACAGACTGTCTTAACAATATATTTTACTTAATAGAATCCATATAAAATATTATCTTTTCAACATATGATAGATATAAAAATAATAATGAGATAGTTTACATTCTTTTTTTATGTATGTCTTTGAAATCTGGGTGTATTTTACACAGACAATGCATCTCAATTTGGACTAACCATGCTTCAAATGCTCAGTGGCTCATGTGACTGGTGGTTAGCATATTGGATGACACATGTCTATATTACACAGCCAATTACAGATGGGTGAAACAGACAATTAAATATTCAACTTTTCTCTGAAAGGATTCTACACACATAAGGCAGCTGCGTGGATCAAATGCAACTTTCATTTTCCACAGCTGGAAAATCAATGAGAGCAGGGAACTGAGAAATGTGTTACAATGTCCATGACTGTTGTAGAGATTATTTGGTTAGGAGATTCACTTATTGACTTAGTTTGAGAAAAAACTTTTAAAATTGTCAATATTCTAGTTAATCAAGATCCCATGGCCAGATTAAGAAGTACAAATTGCCCATTATAAAAATAATCATGGGATATAAAGTACAGCATGAAGAATACAGTTAATAACATTGTTAATAACTATATATAGTGTCAGGTGGGTGATCACTTCATAAGGTATATAAATGTCTAAGTACTATGTTGTACACTGAAACTAATATAATACTGCATGTCAACCATAATTGGAAAATAAATTAATTTAAAAATTGTTATCTAAGTGCTAATATGCTTTGGAACAAAAAGATCCCATGGCCAGACCATCAGCAGTTATTCATTCAGGGAGAAGGCAATTTCCTTTTCCTGGATTAATTGGGGACCCCATGAGACAAAGCCTTAATTACTTGCTTTATAAAGGCAGTCCTGGGAATAAAACCCATGCTTTATGATTAAACCTGAACTTGAGTGTTTGGTCCAGGAAATTACTCTGCTCTCTGATGAACTCTGAGGGTAACTGTGACCCTTAGATCTGGATTAATGAGAATACCAATGGCTGTAAAAAAAATCTTACCAAGTAGGCTAAAGTATATTTAACATTTCCCCTTAAATGAGCATTTCTATCTGATTGATTCCCTCCTAGTCACGTTTAACAGTTCTTCAATTTATCTCTCTATATAAAGCTAAAAGAATATTTTATAAAACATGGCAGGGACATCATCATATATGGAAATTAGTAAGGCAATAATTTTCTCAACTATTCCAAAATAAAGCCAATGTAGGATGCATAACCCTCCTTCACGTAAATACATTCAAACTGCTGGAGTTTCAAAGTTTTAAATATATTCATACCCTGGAGGGGGAAAAAACCCTCGAATGTATGTATTTCTTCTACTGACTGTAAAGGTCTGATAGTAAATTTAAAAGTACAGACCCTATTTCCACTGCCCACGCTCAGGCGGGAGTTGACACACTGCTGCACCATATAAACTAGAAGAGTTGGAATCCAGTTTTGGCTCTGCAATTAATTCAGGGTGTGTCCTCCAGCAAGTTACTTAACCTTTCCTGGGTACTGCAAATGAGGATGAATCTACTGGGTTTTCTGAAAATCTTACTTTGAAGTAGTTTACTCTAAGGCAAATTCATTTTTCTATGTTTGCTGTCTTCCTGTTCTGACATGGCAAAGCAAAGCTTGGTCTCACTTCTTAATAAATGCCTCCTTTGCAAGCCCAAAGAGCAATTATAAAGTGCTGAACAAGACTCCGGGTAGAGGGTTTGCGGGGACTCCATGGCTGTGAGCTATAATCAATGGCAAGCAGACTCCTGGCTGCTCCATGTTCTTGGGACCAAAGTCTCAAAGACTAATAAAAGTTTCATGCTGGCTGCCTGAAACCAGTTTTTTCCTTCATACTTGGAATTAATTTGTTTGTTCACACTCCATTACCATAAATGATGACCCACCACCTTTCACAAACGCATTTTAAATTGCATAGCTTTAGGGAATGATTATTTATTTACTAAGCGTTTTTACCTGTGCATTAAGTATTCAGAGAAGGTAAAAGAAAGTGCATTAGAAAGAAAGAAGGGAAAAAAGAAAGACCATTTGATAAAATCTTTGTCCCCCTAATACTGATAAACTAATAAAGCTTTAATCACAGATAAAGTAAGAGGTAAATGAAAAAAATTAAGATATTTATTCTTTAAGTTCTAACTAGATACATTTTCAAGTTTTTAGCCTTTAATCTTGGGATAGTAGAAACTTCAGACCATCATTGAGAAGTAGTTCCATAAGTATTGAGGCCTACAGGATACGCTTCCCATTGTTTTAAACTTTCTTTTATTATTGAAATACTTAAACATATGCAACAGTAGGGAGACAAATATATCTCATGTACCTGACATTCAGCTTCCACAGTTATCCACATACGGCCGATATTATTCCCCTCACCCTCTCAGATTACTGCCAGTGCATGTTTTAGCTCCAATTCCAGTAAGGACCTGAAAATTCCTAAGGTTCATTTCAGAATCATAAAACTTGATTCTAACCACATTTCTATATCTTAATAATCAATGTTATTATGTTTGTACATTTCTAGCCCTTTGCGGTAAAGGGGAGTGTTTTAAATTGTGAAAATAAAGAAACAGAAAGAGACTCAGATACGCAGAACAAGCTGATGGCTGCCAGATGGGGGGGGGGTGAAAAAGGTGAAGGGGATTAGTACCAACTGCCAGTTATAAAATTAGTCATGGGGATGTAATATCATAGTGCATATAGTCAATAATATCGTAATAACTGTAGGGTGACATCCTGGTGATCAATCGTAAGGTAGATACAAATATCTAATCACTATGTTGTATACTTGAAACTAATGTAATATAGTCAACTATAAATAAAAATAAAATTTTTAAAAAGAAATAAGGTTTTTTTTCTTGTTCTAAAAATTACTATAGACCTGCCTCTAAATCATACCAATGGTATAATTTATAATCACAGTATTTTTACTACATCTGAAAACACATGGCTCACACACAAATTGACATATATTTGATAACTTGGACCAAAAGGTAAGCTGTATGTGATAAACTATGATAAACCAGAAAAAGAAAATGAGATGAAATGATTCTTAATATTTTCCAGGAATACTTTTAAGGGAACTCCTACTCTACTCACCATCTATCACTGAGCTATTTATAATGGGAAATTAATCTGTTCTGTTTGTTTGTTTCCACAGAGTATTTTAATAGTGAGAGCTCCCAGGCGTGGCCTTCGGCACTAAAAACCAGACAGGTATTAGAATGAGCCCTTAGTTGCAGAGTTTCACTACAACGAATGTTTTAAGGGTAGCTTCTGGTAATCACTGGCCTTCAAGGAATTTATTGCCTCAATTTTAATGTCTATTTTATTTGCCTTGGTGATATTTCTCATATCCCCAATTTGAATGCTAAAGTTCCAACTTTGAGCTTTGAAACACTTTAGAAATATTTTCTAGAGAACGCATTTGTGCATTTTGTTTGTCCTTTTACAGAAGATAAGCATTTCTACATTGACTCCTGTGGTTTAATGCTTGTTAACTTGACTACATATCCTTTATTTCTACCCACAGCAATGCCACTTGACTTATAAAATAAAATTTTAGAGAGTGGAGGTCAAATCTCTTTAACTCACTTTATACAGCAGCTCTTGTAAATAAATGGCTAATAAATGCTTTTGATGATGACAATGAAAATTGAGACCTACAATTAATTCTGTAGGGGAAGCAACATAATCTTTTGGCACAGTCTCCAAAATAAGGAAGGAACTGCGATGGGATCTCCTGCTCAACTCATCATGACTGAGGTGCGATTTCTACGTGCCTGAGTTCCATCATTTTCTATAGCCATGGAATAAGCCGAGGTAAACAGGCATGGGAGAGTAGGCTTAGGTTGAATTATAGTAGTAAAGAGTGTGGACTGTGGAGTCATGTAGGCATGGGTTCAACTTATCAGCCATGTGACCTTTCTTTCTTGACCTTGCAGGTTTGAGTTCTCTAAGTCATTGTTTTCTCTTCTAAGGTCCATAAGATTTTTAAAAACTTTCACCTTCTATAAAATAAAAATAATAGTAATACCTAACTTGAAGAGTTGTTATAAGGATTGAGTGAGAATTTGTCAAGTGTGAGCACCGTGCCTGATACATAAAATTTCTCAGTAAAAAGTTTGTTGTTATATATCGGAGTCACACTTAATGTTTTTATTCATAAGTTTCTTTTAGTTGCTAACAACCTAATGACCAAAATGTGAAGTGATTCTATTGTTTTTGTTTTAAATCAATTTCTAAAAGTTGGTTTCTTTAAAATAATAATTTATCTTAATTTTTATACTATTTTATACATTTCAAAGACAATTTATTTCAATGACATCAGAACACTGACTTTGATAGAAAGGTTATGTATTTTCCTGATTCCCTTGTAATCATGTTTTTTCTGACAGTAATCATATTTTTTCTATAATCATATTTTTTACTAACAGTGATTAGTAAGGCTGAAAAGAAGTTCTATGAAAAGGCAGCTATAAGAATAGTCTGGACACTAAAAGTGGGATTATTTTTACAAAGTAAAAATACTAGATTAACCTTCGCCAGATGTATAATATAATAATCGTTACACATGTTTTGATATGGAAAAATCTCCAAAGTATATTGTTTAGTGAAAACAGCAGAATGCAGGACAGTGTGTAAAATATGTCCTAAACATGTTTGAAAAAAAGAATATATATATGTGTGTGTGTGTATATATATACTTCCCACTTTTAAATTAAGTAAACACTATCACATACAATTTTTTTGTATACAAAATCTTTGACCTATCTGAGTATTACCATATAATGTTTGCTCTAGTTGTGACTTGAGAAACTACCTTAAAAAATGTCAAGGACTACAAGGAGGTGGCAGTAGAGTTACATTACATTATATTGCAGGTTTTCATCTTTTATTTGGGGGTGTGGGGCAGAGAAAAGCAGGGGAAATAGTGGTAGCAAATTCACTGGCAAGGGAGAAAGAGATGAAGTGACTAAGGCACTGACTGTAATTGTCTGCAGTCAAAGGACCTCACCGGGTAGAACACGTGGAGAGGCAGGCTTATCCCTACAACTTTAGTGACACTACAGCGGTCCCGGCTTCTAGGAACGTGCCCATTGCAGATGCTGCGGTTGTATTTGAATTCTGTTTCCAGTTTGGCTATGTGGATACTTCTGTATGGTTCAATCAAAACCAAGTACCCTAGATAAGTAAAGGTCAAGTTCATACAAAGAGTAACTCATTAGGTGCTAATTCAGAATGATTATTTAGGGCATGGGGCCTAAATCTAATTTTTAATTATTTGTTTAATTTGCCATTCCTTTGTATCCTCAGTTTCATTTTATCTTTTCCAAGAGAACATGATATCCCAGCTATCACATTTGTCAAATGCAGCAATTGCGTTTCTACTGAATCAGATGGTTTTTGAACAACGTTCCCCCAGAGTTTTTCTTTCCATATATAATGATTTACGTGTTATGGCTTTAGAAATTGTAAATAAGCTACTCTTTTCTCTCCAGAATATCAGTCCTAAGAACAGTGTGAGTTTATTCCATTTTCTTTTTAATAGACTTAAAATTTTCTTTTCTTTTGTTGTAAGTTGGGGAAGGGGATGAATGAGAATATTTAAATTTTGATCACAATTTTATGAAGGATGCAGCTTTAAAAACTACCGTGTGTAATGACGTCGAGTGTGGTGTAGTAGAATTTCCAGTCTTTTTAAAGAGGATTTTGGGTCATTTACTTCTTCAGAATAACCTGAAATCTCTCTAAGGCCTTACATTTCTCTTTGCACCCCTCCCGCATCTTGGAAGCTCCCGCACCCTCTTCTCTCAGACTTCTTCTCACTATTTATTCTCCCCTTTTTCTCTCCTTTCCTCTCCCCTCAGAAAAGGAAAGTGGCACCTCAATCTGACTTCAAGAGCTTCAAATTTCAAGAGCTTCTCAAAAATCTCCTTGGGGACTGTCATTTTGTCCAACTTTGCAACATTGCTAACTTCTTTTGCTTATAGCATCGAACATCCCAGATAAAGTCTAAGTCTTATGTCTGTAAAGAAACCAGCCGTGCAGAGGAGTGTGGCCGACACGGTGCAGGGAACAGGTCAGGCCTGGTGGGGAGAGATGTGAGCGAAGGTCAGGGCATGGGCTCCTCCCTGGGAAGTCACTCGGTCTCTGGGGTTAGAACCCAGGGTCTGGGACCTTGAACAGCTGAGGGGAACAAGCTTTGAGGATGGGTTTCCTTGGGCAAAGAAGGATGAGCAGAAACTAAAAGGAGCTTTTCACCTTTATTAGCATCTCTCATAAGATCAGTATTCCTAGAATCCTTAGGGTAATCGTTTAATGAAAAAATTGTTGAATGAATGGCTATGAAAGAAATTTTTTCAATCAATTCTTTTCCTTATTGCAACACTTGGGCAAGAGTAAACTATATTTGGACATGTGACAGCTAACTATTCTTCTTAGCAAGTAATTATATCCATAAAGAGTGATATTCATTCCCAACTGCGCTCCAGAAGAACAGGGAGATAAAGGCCATCAGCATATTTTAGAGCAGGCTATGGAAGAAGGAATCTACGGAACTTACAAATGATTTGACAGAGGAGTAGAAAAAGTGCTGCCTCACGTTTCTGGCAGAGTGGGTAACCGTGGCTATATTCCTTAAATAATAAAAAGTTTAGCCACATCTGCTGCATCTGTACTTAAATTTAATTTAGTTACTTTTATATGCTTAAGTGCACCCGGGAGCCTCAGGCAAAGCTTTGAAGAGGAAGGGACAAAAATGCTGAATCTTATAAATCTCTGCTGTCCCTCTAAAGAATATAAAAAATACCCATGTGCACTAAAGGCTGGCACCACAGTCTTAACTACTTAGCAAGCACCAGGGATTCTTTCTGGTTTTTGTTTTTTACAACTGTTATAGAAGCATTAATCCTAAGGTGAAATCAGCTTAGCATCCAGTTTGACATGTTTAACCGCGTGTGAATGGAGTGGACAGCAATTGTAAACAAGCTACCACATGTTGCCTAACTTTCAGAGTCAATTCTCTAGTTCCCTGTCCTCGGTCAGCAGACGTTTGTGGAACACTTCTGCGTATTTTCTGTTTATTGGGAACTAGGGCCAGTCGTGTGAGTGAGACGGACGGCTTGGGACAGGCCGGGGCCCTGGCAGCCTTGACATCCCGGGTGTCACTGAAGAGCAGGAGATGCCCCCCGGAGGGGAAGGACAGGGAGGGGCCGCGCGAGCCGGGCGCCTACCTTGGCAAGCTGCTCGTGGATCTCCAGCAGGCTGGGGCGGCTGGCCTTGGGCCCGCTCACGCTGCCGGTGTTGCGATAGTACTCGATCTTGGGGACAGCATCCATGGTGTTGTGGCCGAAGGTTTGCAGGTAGTATGTGTTTGTGTGGGAATCATAGACGTGGAAACTAGCGTCTGTCTTAGCCGTTTCTCCGTTTTGGAGGAAATTGTCATAGCACTCCTGTTTCCCAGGCCGAAAGCTGATTCTGAACCTGGTCTGGGCTTCATCCCCAAAGGAGGTTTCCTCATAATGCGGGGGGTCGGCGCTCTCCGCCGCGGCGCTGCCCTCCTGGCCCTCGCTTATGACATTGACCTGAAAGCGGTTGGTATTGCTGGGCGCTGAGTCCAGAAATGCGCTGGAAGAATTGTTCAGGGACATCTTCCAACTCGATGTTTTGGGAGGACTCAGCTATTTACTGTATGCTTTTTTTTAAAAAAAAAAAAACTATATATTTTCTCCTCAAAATAAACACTAATATGTTTACATTAGGGAGCGCCCGGCTTTTGTTAGAAGAACTCAGTAAGGAGATTCCTGATGTATTGTCTCCTAAGCGATCTTCACATTGTTCTTCAAGACTGTCATTGAAAAAGAAAATTAAACTTGGTCCAAGTAATATAACTATATTTAAGTAGAAATGGGAGGGGGTGAGGAAAGAGTGTTCTTTCATAAGACATATAATTTTAAGTTCATTTCATTAAAAATTACCTGTCCAGGAACCTTAATCACCTGAGTAATTAAATCCTATAATAAATAACTGGGGACCCACTTCAGCAAACAGGATTTCCAGTGGAGTTATTAAACTCCTACCTGTGTTTGTAGTATTTGCTTAGACTCTGTGCGATTGGATTCAATACGACTTTAGAAAAGATAGAACTACCGATTTAGTACAGTAAGAGCTGATGAGAATATTCTTAGCCTGAAACACAGTTCATTGACAGTACTAAATAAAGTTTTTTTATGCTTGATATCTATATACATTAAATTATAAGTAAAATTTTAAAATATTTAAACGCCTAAAAATATATTCTTGTTAGTTTTTAAAAATAAGTCCTGTCAAGATAGTATGTCTCTCTTAACTATCAGATTTTTTACTTGCCTTCAAAATATTTGATTTTCTCATAAATTTGTCTGTTTTACAAAAGCTATTATAAAAATCTTTAAAATAACATGATTATTCAGGGTACGGACATAAATCACAGTCCTCAATAAAGTCGTATGTGATGTTTAAGTTAAATAATCATGCTCCACTGATTCCTCTTAGTGAAATATTCTGAATCTTTACCAAGAAGTTTATATTTAACTTTCAGATAAACAGACTATATAATCATTTTTTAAAATCCATGGTACAACCTCATCTTAGAGCGTTTTTTCTTTAGAATAATGTCATTATATTTACACCTTAAAAGTTGTCTTTTCCAAGAAGGTTCTAGAAAGATAAACCCAAAAACTTGCCTCTCTCCTGAAATTACTAAAACTATTTATTTGAATTAAAAATTTTTTTCAACTTCAACTCTCAAATAACCTTTCCTGGGGAAATCCTAAGTGAATCTGTTATCTCTTTAGTTTTTATAGAATATCCCACTTCTCTTTAGAGTCCTCGATATCTTTGCCCTTACTCCACTCCTCAGAATCTACTTTATGACATAATATTAAGTGTCATTTTTACCCTGCCCAGAAATGTTTAACTCACCAGCCGGAGCTGCCTTCTCAGGAAGCATAATCTGCTTCAGCATCACCCAGGCATATATGGGGCGCTCAGCTTTCAGCTCAGAACCTTAGGCTTCTTCTTATTGGTTAGAATCTTACTTGAAAGAGATGACTGAGCAGTGAGAGGCCTGGAATAATACTGTATGTCCCGCCCAGTCATTAGCCCCCAGGAACCTTAAGTACTACATCAACTAGTAACTAGTAGTAAACCATTAATCCTTTTAGATAGAAAGTAAAATAAAGTTTCTTTAATTCATAAGGGGGGCTGTATTACTCAACAGCAATTATTTAACAAAATACGAGCAGTGCTTTAATTGTTTGGAACTAAATAAATTTAGTCCCGTCTTTTTATTTCACATGAACCTTCGTGACCTCCTATTGTTCAGCATGTGCAGAAAATATAGTCCTCCAGAGATAGTTTCTATACTTTGTAACTAGAAAATGCTATCTGACATTAGTTTATCTTGCTTATAGTACATATTATTTTGACTTTTGTCTGCATGGGAAGTGAGCAGATTGAGAGTTCAGTCAATGATTTATTGAAAATATTTCTACCTAGTGGGAAAATGGTTTCAAGAAGAAATCAAACAGTGGGCAAGTTTCCCAGTGGCACTGCTAAATGGCCTTTTTGTCTCCCTTTGGGAAAAATTTTTTCAAACCTGGTTTTTGAGATTTGTAGAGGGAAAGGTTTGGCTCGCATCTGTGAGGTGGTAATTATTAAGACAGCACAAACAATCCCTCCGTGCAGGCTCTGTCATGGTTTTCCATTGTGAAGATTGAATGAGTCCTCCCCGTGATTTATAAGAAATGATCCAAGTGAGTTCCAGTTGCCTGAGCAGCGTGGCTGTGGTGAGATACAGTGGCTAAGAGCAAGTCCCTGGAGTCAGAATGCTCCGTTCCCATCCTGACCCAGCTGCTTCCTATCTGTGTGATCTCTGGCAAGTTCCTCAGCCTCTCTCTACCTTGATTTTCTCATCTGCAAAATGCAGTTATGGATAATAGTGGTACCTACCTTGTTGTGGAGTTACTGTGAGGATTAAATGAGTCAATTTGTGTTCATACTTAGCGTTCACTTTTACTGTTTTGGCAGTATTTTGAGTTGGTGACTTTTACTCAGCTACATCCAAGATTCTGGGGTGAATCATTAGAGACTGGGATAGGTACTACGACTATTAAAATAGGGAGAAATGTAGTTTGGCCTGCAGATACCAGGCTGTAGAAAGGGGGCTGGAGGTACCTAAGTGAAACCCCTTAGATGCTCTTAGGTAAGTGTCATGCTAATCAGTCAGGCTGATGTCATGGGGCTAGCCGTATCATATAGAGACAGAATTACAAATAGGTGCCTATGACTCCTTCTGCTCTCAAAAGGCCTCTGGGACAAGGCACTGACTGGCCTGTTCCACACAGGGCTCTGATTCCCCATATAGAAAGTAGTCAGGCATAGGAATGAGTCACATCTCAGACTCAGCTAGGTGGCTGGTTATTTAAATCTCCTGAGATGAGGCTGAAACCCAAAACAAGTCCTACTCACCGGCCTTGGACAGGAGCTTTGGACTTACTTGCAGTTCCTTCCGCCACCTCCAGCCTCCCTTCCTCCAGCCGTTACCCCAACACCCGCCCTCTTCCAGGAGCCTACCTATTTCTGTCTTTCTTTTTATTTTGGGGGAAGGTGGGGGTCCAATGGACATTTATTATATTCCAGGACATTTATTATATTCCATGTCCCAGATATGGTGATAGGCAGGTTTCCTGCTGCTGTTGGTTTTTGCTTTTGCATTTTTATTGTGGGAAAATACACTTAACATAAAATGTCCTGCCTTAACCATTTTAAGTGTACAATTCGGTGATATTAAATACATTCACATGGCTGTGCAACCATCACCACCACCCCTCTCCATAGCTCTTTTTATCTTGTAAAAAGCCCCCTCTATACCTATTGAACAATAACTCCCCATTCTTCCCCCGTTTCCTATTGTTTTTTGTGATTTTTTACTACTGTAAGTACCTCACTTAAGTGGAATCACACAGTATTTTCCTCTTTGTAAATGGCTTATTTCACTTCGAATAATGTCCTTAGGTGCATCTATGTTGTGGCATATTGCAGAATTCCCTTCCTTTTCAAGGCCGAATAATATTCCACTGTGTGCATTTACCACAATTAACCATCCATTCACCAACTGGTATACCTTGGGTGGATTCCACCTTTTAGCTAGCGTGAATAACGTTGCTATGAATAGGGGTGTACAGATATCTTTACAAGACCCTGTTTTAAATTTCTTGGGGTATATACCCAGAAATGATGGCTCCCAGAGGGGAGACATGGGGGATGTGTGAAAAACGTAGAGGAGAATAAAAGCTATAAACTTCCAGTTATAAAATAAGTCATGGGGATATAATGTACAGCACAGGGGAAAAAATTAATAATATCATAATAACTTTGTATGGTGACAGTTGGTTACCAGACCACCTGTCACAGTGTAAGGTGTATAAATGTAGAATCACTATACTGTATACCTGAAACTAATATAATACTGTATGCAACTATACTTTAATAAAAAATAGAATTATCATATGTTCTACCTACTTCTTATACTTTTTACTCTACCAAAGTTGGCGGATGCCTTTGATAGTGGTCAATTTCCTTTTTTCTTGCTGACTGACTACTTGACTACAGAGTAGTGTGAATTAGCTTTAGTCTTACATCAAGAAGACATTTTTATTTTAAGCCTAACTGTGAAATGAAAGTCTTTGTTCTCTGTTAAAGGAATTCAGACTTCCTGGAGCACTGAGGAGATGCTTTGGGGGATAAAGATGAAATTACACCATCCATAAAGCCAACCTTGAATGGTAAACCCAATACAGGTATTCCAGACAGGTGAGTAAGGTACCAAGAGGAAACTGTCTGGAGGGATGCTCCTCTCCCTTTCCTCCTGTCTTCCCTGACAGGGCTCCTGGGAAAGGGCAGCCAGAGGATAATCTGGCTGTGACATTGGACAACTATCCCTAGAAGGCTTAACATTTCAGGAAATCTCTATCTTGTGTCCATAGTAGAACCAGCCTTTTATGTCCTTTATATTGTTTCTTGCTCTGAAAATACAGATGTTGACCTCTCTTTCTTCTTCTCTCTCCCCAAAAAGTCTAAGACATACAATAGGCCATATATATCCCATGGCTAAAGGCACTTTTGGTTAAAATAATTTCTCTTTAGAGGGATAGAAATAATATTATGGTGAAGTTGAAGAGATCTGAAAAAGCTTGTGGAGGTTGAACTTTCAGAAATAATGCTCATACTTCATCAAGTGTTCTTGTCTTTTGGGTTTTGGGCCTTTTTCCTTTTTGAAATAAATATCTGGCTTTGTTATATTCTAGTCACTAAAATAAAGGGTCTTGATAGGTGTCTTCCTTGGGAAACAAATGGAGCATCTGGTACTTATACATCTTAGTGAGTACTTTAAAATGTGGGTCACAAAGAATATGCCTGGTGTCCTGGTACATACAGCTTTCAGTGTGTCCAGCTGACATGGCTCAATAAGGAGTTCTCAGACCAAATTACTAACTAGCTACAAGATGTCCCAGGCTGACATTCCTGTGCCTACTGGGGTTCAGAGAACCTTGTTGAGGTATGAGCTTGTTCCAGAAGACCCATGGCCAACACAGATGTGTTCTAAATCTACTAGGAGATACAAAGTATCTGGGAATCCCACTGAGACAGCTGGTTTTGGAGTGCCATAGACCTGAGCAGTAATCATCTTTGTAAGATTTGTAGAAGTATGGGGACAGTGTTGGAGTTCAGCAGGATGTTTACAAACAAGGACTCTGACATTAGATTGCCCAAGTTCAATTTCCCCCTAGCTTGGTGACCTTGG